TGTGTAACTTGCGTACAGATTAAAACCTGGTTTAGACTCTGGTTGATGACAAGAGCATGTGTTTTAGCAGGACAACACAAACGATGGCTGCAAGAAAAGAACAAATTACCATTAAAGGTCATGGAGCCACATGAAAACACAACGTTCAGGTCAAATACAAAGTGAGGGGAAGAAGAGCAGAAATATAATAAAAATCAGTTTCTAGGAGACACCTCTAAAAAACAAAAATACAAACAAAATGTTAAAATTAAAACTTTGATGTTTGAAAAATGTTTATTAATGATTATTTAATCATTTTTTTATTTCAAATTTTAAAGAAAAATTCTAGATGGACCACATATCATTAGCTTTGGACGCCAGAATTTTAAATATAGAAAAGTGGTTTTAGTGTATTTTGTGGCAGCCATCTTGAACTGGATTGGCTCCAAAAGTTAATGTCTTAAATGGCCATTCAGTGATTCCTATCAAAGCTTTATTAAAATCCGTTTAATGGTTCTTGAGATATTTTGCTAAAAGACAAACATATGCACACACACACAAAGTGGCAACTGCCTTGTCACACAATATTCACAGAAACAGGTGATAGTAATTCAAAGTATTTGAGAGACTTTTACAAACATAAAAGCAAATTGTTTTATTAAATAATATAATCTACAAAACCCTACTGGACTTAACAACAAAGTTCATGCTCAATCATCAAGGTACCAAATCCAATAATTCGCTGTCAGGTCATCTGGACTTAGGTCTTTGAAGAAAGGTGCCCAAATAATATGATGCTAACAGCCGCTATGCCACATTCTAATGGTTCCACGTGTCGGAACTGAAATAGTGAAAAGAGTATTCAGCTTTGTTGCCTCCTCGACATGGAGCACCTGCAAACTGATCTGAGGCTACAAGGCCTCATCTCTTTCAGAACCTTTAGTCCAATTCTGAAATGTTTGTAAGACCTTAGAATTATGCTGATGTTTTTAACAATTCCCTTTATTGTAACAATAGACTGTTTTAACTGTTTTTTTAAGTCACTGTTAATATCATGATTATGCAGTTACCATATACTTTAAATTCAGAACCATTTGTGGGTAAAATATACAAACCGGATTCCAAAAAAGTTGGGACACTAAACAAATTGTGAATAAAAACTGAATGCAATGATGTGGAGGTGCCAACATCTAATATTTTATTCAGAATAGAACACAAATCACAGATCAAAAGTTTAAACTGAGAGAATGTATCATTTTAAGGGAAAAATCTGTTGTTTCCAAATTTCATGGCATCAACAAATCCCAAAAAGTTGGGACAAGTCCATTTTTACCACTGTGTGGCATCCCCCCTTCTTCTTACAACACTCAACAGACGTCTGGGGACAGAGGAGACCAGTTTCTCAAGTTTAGAAATAGGAATGCTCTCCCATTCATGTCTAAAACAGGCCTCTAACTGTTCAATCGTCTTGGGCCTTCTTTGTCACACCTTCCTCTTTATGATGCGCCAAATGTTCTCTATAGGTGAAAAATCTGGACTGCAGGCTGGCCATTTCAGTACCCGGATCCTTCTCCTACGTAGCCATGATGTTGTGAATGCTGCAGAATGTGGTCTGGCATTATCGTGTTGAAAAATGCAGGGTCTTCCCTGAAAGAGATGACGTCTAGATGGGAGCATATGTTGTTCTAGAACCTGAACATAGTTCTCTGCATTAATGGAGCCTTTCCAGACATGCAAGCTGCCCATGCCACAAGCGCTCATGCAACCCCATACCCTCAGTGATGCAGGCTTCTGAACGGAGCGTTGATAACAACTTGGGCTATCCTTGTCCTCTCTGGTCCGGATGACATGGCGTCCCAGTGTTCCATAAAGAACTTCAAATCGTGACTCATCTGACCACAGAACAGTCTTCCATTTTGCCACACTCCATTTTAAATGACCCCTGGCCCAGTGCAAACGTCTGAGCTTGTGGAGCTTGCTTAGAAATGGCTTCCTCTTTGCACTGTAGAGTTTCAGCTGGCAACGGCGGATGGCACGGTGGATTGTGTTCACTGACAATGCTTTCTGGAAGTATTCCTGAGCCCATTCTGTTATTTCCTTGACAGTGGCATTCCTGTTTGAGGTGCAGTGATGTTTAAGGGCCCGGAGATCACGAGCATCCAGTAGAGTTTTACGGCCTTGACCCTTACGCACAGCGATTGTTCCAGATTCTCTGAATCTTTTGATGATGTTATGCACGGTTGATGATGATAACTTAAAAGTCTTTGCTATTTTACGCTGGGTAACACCATTCTGGTGTTGCTGCACTATCTTTCTGTGCAACAATGGTGGAATTGGTGATCCTCTTACCATCTTGGCTTCTGAGAGACACTGACACTCCGAGAAGCTCTTTTTATACCCAATCTTGTTGTCAATTGACCTAATTAGTGTTAATTGGTCTTCCAGCTGTTCGTTATATGCTCAATTTCCTTTTTCCAGCCACTTATTGCTACTTGTACCAACTTTTTTGGGATTTGTTGACACTGTGAAATTTTGAATCAACATATTTTTCCTTTAAAATGTTACATTTACTCAAATTAAACTTTTGATCTGTCATCTATGTTATATTACGAATAAAATATTGACATTTGCCATCTCCACATCATTGCATTCAGTTTTTATTCACAATTTGTTTAGTGTCCCAACTTTTTTGGAATCCGGTTTGTACGTGTTTTATCCTACATTATTTGTTTTGATCATTCTTTTATGGCGTGTGCTGCTGTCATCCAGGTGACCCTCGGAAAACAATATCGATCGCAAAGGGTTTTCATCAGGCAAATAATGATGATGATAAATGTTAAGAAACAAACGCTTTCTGATCAGAAATGTGCTGCTGGAACAAGACACACAGACGAGAACAGATAATGTAACACTGATAGAGAGCTACTTTAGAAACCAGCCCACTGAAAGAGGTTACAGCAGTCCCTCGATTATCGTGGGGGTTACGTTCCACACACCTCTGCGATAGGTGAAAAACTGCAAAGTAAGATTGTTATACTGTAGTTTCTGGACTATTGAGCGCACCCGAATATAAGCAACACCCGCTAAATTTAAAAAGGAAATTAAAATGTTACATAAATTAATTAATTCATTCAACCTTTATTTAAACAGATAAGTCACATTGAGCCTAGAAGACTCATTTACAAGTGAGATCTGTTTAGACAGACAAAAAGTAGTGAAACTGGACACACGTAGGAATTGGAGGCAAAAAAAATTTCTATTAAACTTTTTCTTTTTGGCTGAGAAGAAAAACTCTAATATTAAAAAAACCACCTCGCAAAAAACTTACATGTCCTTTCAAACCCTTCACATTTCACCACTCAATAGGATCAAAATCTCTCCTCTTTCACTGTTTACAATCTGCTGATCTGTGCCGTCTGAAAGCCAACATGAAGAAAAAGTCTGGTGTTTGTTTCTACAGCCAAGTTTCGTGTAATATAGATATCGCCGTATCCTCTCCAAAGCACCATCATGGAAAATAAAGAACATTTCAAGTCATACGTCACAGGAGGAACACATAAAAACATGAATTTAAAACTAAACATGAACAGGAAGATACTGCAGCATAATATAGAGTCAAAAATACAAAACAGTCACTAACAACGACCACAAACTCCCAACACTGAACAGAACCAACAAGACAACCCATCTGAACACAGAAGCTGGTCCACCAAATTCGGTTCTAAGATTACCCAGAAGGCTCTGCAGCTCACAGTCACGTTCAAGTACAACATGTAACTTGAATACTGGCAATTTACACTGAAATTTACCAGTAACCCAAAGAACTTGTCGATTCTGTAAAATATTATGTAGTGAAACCAGAATACAGGTGTAATATTGAAAATTATCAATGTAAATCTAAATTTAATATTTAATCTTTGCTTTTTTAAAGCAACTACAATTTCTGTGTGGATGATTGAATTTACAGGTTGCAACTGAATGCATCAAAAATTGCATGTTCAAAAACCGAAGCTTTACAGGGACTTCCAAAATTCCTGAGTCCCATATTTTGGTTCCACCCACTTTATATCAGCATTCTTATTGGTTAATTTTCCTGTCAGTTATTTAACAAACTCTTCCTGCAGAGACTCTAACTGAGCTCAGCCTTCTCTGCTGACAGTGAAGTCCTGACCAATGAGGAAGAACCTTCAAACATGTTTCCGCCTGGAGACAAACATTTAAAACAAATTGATTGGATAACTGGATTATCATGAATTAAAAAAAAAACCTGCAACACAGTTGACAGAAAATGATAAATGAGCAAAAAGGAAGAAAAACTAGATTGAAAATATTTATTTTATAGAAAATGATTAAATAAAAATTTTACATGTAACGTGCTGAATTCTTAAGACTTCTCTGAAAGTGTTGAAGGCCTTGAGGGTTCCCCACTGTATATATTTTATTAAGCTGAAGACAGATGTTTCCATTCTGACAACCAACACCAAAATATGGTGGGCCACTTTTAATGTTGCAAAAAGTGACAAACAAAACATTTGAACATAAAAGAACACATATTTGAATAATATACAATCTTCTCCAAAAACAGCAAAATACATTATAAAAATTGAATGAAATTAATCTTTTGACCATTTGTTTTCAAAGATAAAAGGTATTCAATAAATGTATACATGAAGAAACAAAATAAAGTTATATCTGTGCACAGATTATTTGGTTTTGAAGTTTGTTTTTGCTCACTAAAACATTTGATTTCACTTATTCCAGCAGAATAATGTTACAGAAAAAAATGCAAACGTAAAACCAGAAAACAAGCCCGTATTTATCAGCCATTTGAGAGATTTATGTCTGATTGACAAGCAGAGAATAAGGTGCTTACATTATTTATTTTACTTCATTTTTATGAAGATGTAATACTGTATATAAAAGCAATACTGTTTAAACAGAAGTGCAGTAAAGTCAAACGCAGGTTAAAGAAAACCTGGGTGTAATAATCCTGAGGCAGAATTCAGTGGACGGTGAAAAGCTCAGAGTCCCAGCTCACCTTTCTGCACGTTACAACCCAACAGACTGTTTGCAGCCTCCACACATTCAGGTATCCACTCGGCTGAGGAGGAGGAGACGCACATGTTCATCAAACAGACATGTAGCTAGAAATAACCCGTTAGCATCATTATGTTTCTCACCTCTCTTACCGCAGAGCCACAATGTCGCTTTCATTGCAAGGAGTTCCCACTCCACCTTTGCATCACTTGTAAACCCATGAAGCCAGACCAAAACCAAAATGGTGGCCCACACTTTCTTTTTGCTCTGCTTCAACAAAGTAAAAGCAAAAACTGAGCTGAATTCTAAATTTGTTTTTGAATACTGCCATTAAAATATATGTCGTCTTACCGACGCAGGCTTTGTTTTTGTCACCTCCTCAGAGGATTGTCCCAGAGCTGCAGCTAAAGCTGGACTGAGCGGCCAGCAGCCCGAGGCCTCCTGCAGGGAGACGAGCTGCAGCAGAGGATCCCTGGGTGGCTCCGAAGACTCTGTGGCTGCAGAAGATGTTTCAGAAGAGAAAATCAAAACTTGAAACGTAAACGTGCACCAACATGAACATACAGCTGTGGTCAAAGGTTTACATCCACTAACAAGGACAGAAAGATAAATCCGCCTTGATAATCATTCCTTTGGAGCAGACGTGGGCAACTTAAGCCCCCCTCCCAAAAAAAAGATTAATAAATAAAAGCAGTAATTTATCAACGAGACTTAAGGAAGTTTAAATTAAACATCTTACGCAAAACATTTGAAAAAACAAAACTTTTTTTAAGTTATTGTGTTTCCAGAACTAAACTGAACCTTAACGACTTAGAAATATAAATGTATCCATTTGTTTTGCATATTTCTGCTAACATGTATACTCTGTTAATCTAACATAATGCATTGTCACAAGAGCCAATTTACAGAATATGTCTTATATTCTTAATTGGAAAGACATGTTTTATAAAGCATGCTAACTATGCTACAACAAGACAAAGCCTGACAAAAGTCTTCTAGATTATCTGTCATAAAGAAAACGAATTTTCAAATTCTCCATGCGGCACTTTGATTGCTTTAAACGTCTTGATGTGGCCCTTTGAAAAAAAAACGTTGGCCACCTCTGCTGGAGTTTACAGTCAGATACGTTTAGCAAAAATCAGACAAGTTTCCTTTCAAACATGACATTCTTGTGAGTTTACCACAGCTCTGAGGTGAATCACTCTGTCTGGTCTTCAAGCTGGAGCTAGATCTGCTGAAGACTTTTACGTCGAAAACAAGACATAAAGCAAATAATTAGAATAGTATTGTTGTTTGTTATGTAACACTGTAAACAAAGTACCCAAACAGTTCAAATAACTCAGTTTATGAGATTTGTACATGAAATTTGTGATAAATTATGACCAAAACATCAAAACTCTAAATAGTTTTTATTTCACCAAGTCCAATGTGATGCAACTAAACTGTTAAGACTTTTTTTTAATGTAGTAACCAACAAAGTTCACAGTATTTGAGGTGAAAATACATATTTTTATGTATGTATGAAAAATCACTCCTCAAGTCATCTGAATTTATAAAACAGAGATTTATAATCTTCCACTTCCATGTTGAGCTATAGATAGCTCTCAGAATATGGTTTGAATGTGTGAGCAGTGTGTGGTGCTTGAAGAACATGTTAGGGTGGGAAAACTTTCAACTACAACCACAACAAATTAGCCTGATATCAGTTATACGTGTTCATCTAATTATTACTTTTTGAAAGTTTCATTGAAATGTGTCAACTGGTTTATGAGATATTTTGCTAACAGTGCACACCTACTGTGCCTTGCGAAAGTATTCGGCCCCTTGAACTTTTCAATCTTTTGCCACATTTCAGGCTTCAAACATAAAGATATAAAATTTTAGTTTTTTGTGAAGAATCAACAACAAGTGGGACACAATTGTGAAGTGGAATGAAATTTATTGGATGTGTCAAACTTTTTTAACAAATAAAAAACTGAAAAGTGGGGCGTGCAATATTATTGGGCCCCTTTACTTTCAGTGCAGCAAACTCACTTCAGAAGTTCAGTGAGGATCTATGAATGATCCAATGTTGTCCCAAATGACTGATGATAATAAATAGAATCCACCTGTGTGTAATCAAGTCTCCGTATAAATGCACCTGCTCTGTGATAGTCTCAGGGTTCTGTTCAAAGCGCAGAGAGCATCATGAAGACCAAGGAACACACAAGGCAGGTCCGAGATTCTGTTGTGGAGAAGTTTAAAGCCGGATTTGGATACAAAAAGATTCCCCAAGCTTTAAACATCCCAAGGAGCACTGTGCAAACAATCATATTGAAATGGAAGGAGTATCAGACCACTGCAAATCTACCAAGACCCGGCCGTCCCTCTAAACTTTCATCTAGAACAAGGAGAAGACTGATCAGAGATGCAGCCAAGAGGCCCATGATCACTCTGGATGAACTGCAGAGATCTACAACTGAGGTGGGAGAGTCTGTCCATAGGACAACAATCAGTCGTACACTGCACAAATCTGGCCTTTATGGAAGAGTGGCAAGAAGAAAGCCATTTCTCAAAGATATCCATAAAAAGTGTTGTTTAAAGTTTGACACAAGCACCTGGGAGACACCAAACATGTGGAAGAAGGTGCTCTGGTCAAATGAAACCAAAATCGAACTGTTTGGCCACAATGCAAAATGATATGTTTGGCATAAAAGCAACACAGCTCATCACCCTGAACACACCATCCCCACTGTCAAACATGGTGGTGGCAGCATCATGGTTTGGGTCTGCTTTTCATCAGCAGGGACAGGGAAGATGGTCAGAATTGATGGGAAGATGGATGGGGCCAAATACAGGACCATTCTGGAAGAAAACCTGTTTGAGTCTGCAAGAGACCTGAGACTGGGACGGAGATTTATCTTCCAACAAGACAATGATCCAAAACATAAAGACACATCTACAATGGAATGGTTCACAAATAAACGTATCCAGGTGTTGGAATGGCCAAGTCAAAGTCCAGACCTGAATCCAATCGAGAATCTGTGGAAAGAGCTGAAGACTGCTGTTCACAATGTAGTGAACCTAGGCCCATGTCAAAACTGACCAGATGGACAGAGACTGTTATTTCATTGATCTGCATCCAGAAATACAGTTTGAGCCATCTGGAGACTTTCTTTCTTGAAGTAATCAAGTAGAAAAGACAATTCTCTATGATCATTACTATTTTACAAATGTTTGATAATCAAATTGTGTTAGTTCACTCAATGTTTACAGGTTGAAGATAACTACTCATTTTATTTACATAAACAGTAAGTAATGATTTTTATTCCTCATTCAAAGAAGAAATCAGGTTAATATGCATTTCTTGATTTTTCTGTCTTCAATGAGCAAATTTGTAAGTATGTTAAAAGTCAGGTTTCGGTCAACTAAAATGTTTACTGAGAAGAAATGTCATGTTTAATCTTCACAGAAGATACAGGAGAGTTTGACTCCACGAAGTCTGGTTTTCTCCAATAATCTTTCTGTCTGTTTTTAAACTATCTCATTCTCTGCCCTTGACTTTTCATAACACCTTACATCACAAACCACACCTCTTTCTGGTCCATCGACCAATCAAAAAGCTCTCAAATGACCCGGAAGTCGACCCATTTAAAATGTGGCAACTTCCCAGTTCAGTGAGTTGCTGCGCTCAGGAATGAGTTCAACATGGGAGTTTTCAGAGCTTAAAAGTTTTCCTGAAGAAGAGTTCCAGACTTTAACTCTCGGAAGAGAGTTAAAGAGTTCAGAGTTCTTGGATGCTAACGCAGGCGTCCAGAATGCTTCTATTGGAATACAGAATGCAGTGACGATTTTGGGAATTATAACTTCTGTTTGGATAACCTCGCACGACTCTCGAAGTATTTTAGCTGCTCTCAACGGAGACGCTGAAAGAGTCAGAAAGGAACCCTACGCCGACGCTGATTTTATCATCAACCAGGTAGAAGGTTCTATTTTCGACCAAGTGTACCGTGAACAAGCTAAGAACTGAAGGAGCGTGCACTTTTCTGGTCAAACAGATTAATTCCCTCACACATCTCTCTGTAAGATAAATCTCCATTTTCCATCTTAAACTCTCCTTTCTCCTAAAATCATTACAGATAATTTAGAAATATCTGAAGCAAAGTTCTCAATCACCGCCGTGTGGTTGATGTCTGTTGTTCTGCTGAGAAGTGAGGACAATCTCCGTATTGTTCCAACTTTCTGATAAACTTGCCATTGTTATTGTTTTCATATTCTGCCAAATTAATGTAAATGTGTGATGTTAAACTTTGATTCTGCAAATAAATGACCGCATTCATTTTGATGGGTCAAAGGTAAATAACGTCTCTCGTTACATTTCTGTTAAACTCAATGCACGCATTTACACAGTCAGAAAAATGAAGAACCCGTCTTAAAATGTATGAATATATACGCATATGTCATACTACAACAAACACTCGCCATCCAACCTCACTGAGCTCGAGCTGTTTTGCAAGAAAGAATGGGCAAGAACTTCAGTGTCTCCATGTGCAGAACTGATAGAGACAAACCCCATGAGACTTGCAGCTGGAACTGCAGCAAAAGGCGGCGCTACAAAGTATTAACGCAAGGGGGCCGAATAATATTGCACGCCCCACTTTTCAATTTTTTATTTGTTAAAAAAGTTTGACAAATCCAATAAATTTCATTCCACTTCACGATTGTGTCCCACTTGTTGTTGATTCTTCACAAAAAATTTTTTATATATTGTGTTTGAAGCCTGAAATGTGGCAAAAGGTTGAAAAGTTCAAGGGGGCAAATACTTTCGCAAGGCACTGTATTTCCATCCTGAGCTCACAAAGGTTTGGGTGGATTGTTTACCTGATGATAGTTTCTTTTTTACGGAGCTTCCTGAGGAGATAAACAACCAAACAAAAACATAGCATTAACAATTTCACCAATCTAACATTGCGATATGAAAGTATCTGACCTCTTGTTGAAGCTGAAAGTTAAAAGTTAAAATAAAATGCAGATTAAATTGGGATTAAAACGACTCAATCAAAAGATTACACTACCACCAACCCTGGTCAACCCCTAATCTTGCAGTGCCCCCTGCAGGCCACAAACACGTCTGAGTTTTCTTACCATGGCTCCTAGCTGAGGCGTAAATGCGTCTGAAAACTGAGGAGAGAAGAAATGAGGGTCTGTTTCATCCGTTACTTTCTTCCGTTCTGCTCATTTTCACACCAGCAGCATCTCCTCGAGAAGTGAGATGTTTCTTGTTTATACCTGAATTCTTGTTTTGCTGATGCATTTATGAGTAAAAGTTATGAAGACAAAACAACAAAGATCTGGATTTTATTACGTACCATTTGTCTCGTTTAATTCGTAAAGAATATAATCCAACATGCCTCCACGAAGCATGGGCACTGAGCAAAATAAAAAAAAAGACAAGAAAAGCAGCTCAAACTATTAAAACTAACAGAGCAGCACAAAGCAAACAGGACACTTGGTGTTTTAGAATCAGACTCACTGTAGTTAGGATCCTCCCTGTAGATCAGCGGTCCTTGGACGACTGCGCCATCGTGTTTGCTGACGGCGACGAAGGCCGTGAAGACGCTGCCAACTCCTGACTGCACGCTAAGCTCAACCAGCTTGCTCTTTAAGTCATTGTATTGCTCTTGGTCATTCATTTCCATTTCCAGGGAGCGAATCAGCGTGAGAGCAGCCAATCTGTGGATCGTGAAGCTGCAGATGGAGACAAGGAGAAGGCAGGAGGGAACATTTTCTAACAGACCAAGAGAAAAAAGATCCGACATGCACCACAGGGTCAACAGCATGACTTTCATCTAATCGGCAAAGTTTTGTTCATGAATTTACCTGAAACACGTGCTCCTATCATAATTATTTTTATTCAAAGGACATTCATCAAACTAGGGCTGTTTTCAAATTGTCCACCTGTTCCCTATAAAGTGCAGTTTAGTGCAAGCCAACCATTTTGGATTGATGTTTAAAAACGTAACCGTTATGCAATCTGTGGGGTACAGAAAAGGATTACCATCCCATCCCATACAATTTTATTTATAGAGCACTTAAAACAGCGACGAGGCCAACCAAAGTGCTGTACAGACAGAAAAACAGGCAACATAGAAAACGATATACAAAATGAAGTAAATCAAAATATAAACATAATTAGGGCAAAGGTTTTTTACAATGTAAGATTCTGACATTTTTCTCAGAATTGTGACTTTGATCTCACTCTGAATGTCTGAATACTTCCCATTTGACCAAACTAGAAACTAGCTCTATCAGAAAATCAACATGGTCGTAGAAGACCTGTAACAGTGTGCACACAGCGCCAACAAGATGGTTGTTTGTTTTTTCTGGCTTTTCTTTAAATTTTCATCAACTGTGGCTTTGTCAAATGCTAAAGGACCTCCTAGAGACATCTGGGCCCTAGAGCAAGGTCCTTAAATCCCACCATCTGCTCCCCAGGGCGCCCTAGATAGCAGCTCTCTGCTCTACACAGAGGGCTGTGGTAGCTCGGTGGTCTGTGGTTGTGTCAGGAAGGGCAACCGGCGTAAGAACAATTTCCAAGTCTTCGTGCGACTTAGTTCACTGTGGCGACCCCTGAAGAAGAGAGCAGCCGAGCGAAGAAGAAAAAAAACTTTGGGGATTGATCAGTTCAAACACACTCTGTAGGAATTCTGTGCATTTAAGTTTTAGGACACTTTAAACCAAAGCAGCAACAAAGTTCTGATCACAGGCAGGGGGCGTAAAGAATTTGTTTTTTTATATAAAAATTTAACTTCAGTATGTATCTTTTGAACAGCACTCTTGCACAGTTGGTAGAGCTGCTGCCTCTCAGTGAGCAGGTTACCCTGCATGGTTCAAATCCCGGTCCTGGGGTCTTTCTGGGTGGAGTTTGCATGTTCTCTCTGTGCATGCGTGGGTTTTCTCCGGGTACCCCAGTTTCCTCCCACAGACCAAAAACATGCATGTTAGACTGATTGGTAACTCTAAATTGTCCCTATAGGTGTAGTGAGAGAGTGAATGGTTGTTTGTCTCTGTCTGTGTCCCTGTGATGGACTGGAGACCTGTCCAGGGTGTCCCCCGCCTCTCACACAGTGATTGCTGGACATGGGCACTGGCGACCCCCGAGACCCAAAAAGGAATAAGTGGGTAAAGATAATGAATGGATGAATGTGTCTTTTGCTGTTATAATTTGGTCTTTACTTCTTGTCTAAATTCACACATTCACCTGAAGTTATCGGTCCTTCTCATTAAGATCTGCATGAAAACGGATGATTCCAGCCTCACAGCTTGTTGTTTGCAACAATATCAATAGAAAATTGACATGATCACAGATTTATTAGGCTTGAACCTTCCTTGACCACTGACAAAGTGTTCTTAGAGTTTCATTTGTTTTTCCTGTTGATATTATTATTATTATTATTATGATGATATCTGAATGTCCAAATGCTTCTTTAAAAAACAGTTCATTCAAAATGCTGCTGCCAGAGTCTTAACTGGAGTTAGTAGGAGAGATCATATCTCTCCAGTTTTAGCTTCTCTCTACTGGCTCCCTGTCAAACCCAGAACTGAATTCAAAATCTTACTCCTAACCTACAAAGCTCTCAACAACCTAGCTCCATCTTGTATTACAGGTCTTATTGTTCCATATTTTCCTAACAGAGCACTTCACTCTCAGACTGCAGGTTTACTTGTTTCAAAAAGCAGAATGGGAGGAAGATCTCTCAATTATCAGATTTCCCTCTTGTGGAACCAACTTCGAGTTTCTGTCCATGAGGCTGACACATTGTCCAGTTTTAAGACTGGGATTAAGACTTTCCTTTTTGATAAATCCTATAGTTAGGGTTGTATTAGTTCTATAGGCTTAGACTGATGGTGGACAAACTGACCACATTTCCTCGCTGCTGTCTTTACTTGCTCTGCTCCACCTGTTTGTATTTGTAATTATTTCTATATTCACATGTGCTTTTTTTGTCTTTCCTCCTATAGAAAGTACACCTGGACCTGCCATTCTGTGTCTGTCTCTCCTTCCTGTTCCTCTCAAAATCCAGCCAGTCGAAGCAGATGGCTGCTTGGCCTGCGCTTGGTTCTGCTGAAGGTTTCTTCCTGTTTAAAGGGAGTTTTTCCTTTCCACTGTTGCCATTGCACTTGCTCAGGATGGGAGACTGTGATGAAGTGAAGATTCAATACAATCTGCTGGCTTCTTTAGATAGAGAACTTTACTGATTGGCTTTTATACTGTATGTGAATGTTTCTGTTCAGTGCCCTGCGATGCCTTCTGTTGTGACTTGGCGCTTTATAAATAAACTGAACTGATCAACTACACTGGTTTGAATTATTGGCGAGCCACACTCGTTGACGCTCAATGCTGAGTTCTTAAGCTGTTTGCCTTCAGGCTTTCTCAGTTTCAAGATACACTGAAAACTTATTTCCTGATTTATCGTCTTTGTTTGTGCACACTTTAACCCAGTAGCACTCATCTATTATTCTCTCACGTGTGTTCACTTGCATGGAAAATTGCTCTCAGTTAGTTTATCCTATCCTAGTTCCTGGATGCAGGAAGTGTGACTTCAAACGGGAACTATGTACTCTGGGAGAAAAGTCTGAATTCTGACTTTTTTCTCTGAATTCTTAGATTAAAGTTGGAATTCTGCATACATGTATGAAGTTATGTTAATTGATCTAAGTATATCAGTGGACCTTATTTTAACTTTGCCCTTCGTTTGTAACTTTGACCTTGGAGCTGGGTTGATGAAAAGTGTATACAACACTCCACCTGGTGTTGATGCAAATGAGTATGAAGTTTTGTTAAATTATCTTGAGCAGCATGACGGCTCAGTGGTTAACACTGTTGCTTCATAGCAAGAAGGTCCTGGGTTCAATCCCCGGTTGGTCCCAGGGGTCTTTCTGTGTGAAGTTTGCATGTTCTTCTCATGCTTGTGTGGGTTTTCTCCGGGTACTCCGGTTTCCTCCCACAGACCAAAAGCATGCATGTTAGTTTGCCTTCAGACTCCGGCCTCCCTTGTAAAAGAGATCTGTGATCTCAGTGGGATTTGCCTGGTTAAATAAAGGTTAATAATAATAAAAGATCAGACAAAGGAAATTTTGCAGACGTATGCAGTCTATTCATTCAACCTTTATTTAGACAGATAAGTCACACTGAGCCTAGACGACTCATTTACAAGTGAGATCTGTTTAGACAGACAAAAAGTAGTGAAACTGGACACATGTAGGAATTGGAGGTGAAAAAATTCCTATCAGACTTTTTTTTCCTGCCCGAGAAGAAAAACTCTGATATTAAAAAACACCTCGCACAAACAAGCACATAGTGACGTAGACATTCTGCAGAGGGGGGAGACGAGAGCGGTGAGCAATGTTCATAGATGCTCTCGAGGGCATTGTAAGAGTTCTGATAAAGATGGACTAATCAGTCAATGTCCTCCGGTGAGATCCATAAACATTCTCGAGGGATGTCGAGGAATGGCCAAGAATAATGACTATGAGAATCCAAGAGTCCTGAAATGATGCCACAAAGTTTATTCAGCTGGTTTCATCTAATTATCAGTTGGAAATCCCTCAGAGAGGGGGTGGTGAGTGTCAGATCACATGTTCTCCAGGCAAATTCAGATAAGACTGAACCGGAATAAGGCTGCAGGTCCAGAAGGTGTCAGTCCCAGAGTCCTGAAGGTCTGTGCAGAGCAGCTCTGTGGGGTTCTGCAGCACCTCTTCAACCTTAGCCTGACCCAGGAGAAGGTTCCAGTGTTGTGGAAAACATCCTGCCTTGTTCCAGTGCCAAATAAACCTCACCCATCAGTCCTCAATGACTATCGATCTGTTGTCCTGACATCCCACATCATGAAGGTCCTAGAGAGACTTCTGCTGACCCACCTGACTAGACAAACAAGCACATATCAGGACCCACTGCAGTTTGCTTATCAGCGTGGACTTGGAGTTGAAGATGCCATCATACACCTGCTTCAGCAAACTCACTGTCATCTAGAAAAGGCAGACAGCACTGTGAGAGTCATGTTCTTTTTATTTCTCCAGTGCATTTAACACAATCCAGCCTGATTTGCTTTGTCAGAAACTCCAGAAGACTCAGGTGGAAACCTCAACAATCACCTGGATCAAAGACTACCTGACAAACAGACCACAGTTTGTGAGACTGAAGGGTTGCGTGTCTGACCAGGTGGTCAGTAGCTCAGGAGCACCACAGGGGACTGTACTCTCACCATTCCTTTTCACTCTGTACACCTCAGATTTCCAGTACAAAACAGACTCCTGTCATCTGCAGAAATATTCTGATGACTCTGCAGTGGTCGGGTGTTTCAGAGATGGACAAGAAGCTGAGTACAGGGAACTGGTGGACCACTTTGTGGCATGGTGTGGAAACAATAATCTCATCTTGAATGTGAACAAAACAAAGGAGATGATTGTAGATTTCAGAAGAATCAGGAACAGGTCCAACCCTATTTCCATCATGGGAGAAGAAGTGGAGTTGGTGGAGAAGTATAAATACCTTGGAGTTCACCTGGACAATAGACTGGACTGGAAATGCAACAGTGAAGCATCTACAAGAACGGACAGAGCAGACTGTATTTCTTGAGGAAGCTGAAGTCCTTCAACGTTTGCAGCAAGATGCTGCATATCTTCTATAAGTCTGTTGTAGAGAGCTCTGTTTCTTCTGCCATCATCTGCTGGGGTAGCAGCACCAGAGCAAGTGACTTCAAAAAGATCAACAAGCTCATAAAGAAGGCTGGCTCAGTTCTGGGGACTCCTCTAGAACCTTTGGAGATGATTGTACAAAGAAGGATTCTTCATAAAATAAAGAACATGATAGACAACCCTCAGCATCCTCTTCATCAGACTGTCATACAGCAACAAAGTGTCTTCAGTCAGAGGCTTCTTCAAATCCTTTGTAGGACAGACACTACAAGAGATCCTTCCTGCCCACATCCATCAGCATCTATAATAACTCATTAATGAAACCAGAATGATGAGTTACCCAACATATAATTTCCCTCTGGGATTAATAAAGTATTTTTGAATTGAATTGAATTGAATGACCTTCAAGGCCAGCCAGGGGAGCCAAATTCTGACAAACACACAGTTGTTTTGGGTACAGGCAGAACTTAATGACATCTACCTTGAGTCTGTGTTGGTCGACTCGGTTGTGAAATGTCCAAATTACATGGCCACACCGATGGAATGTGACTGAGTAAAAGCCCAAATGTTTGATCATTCTGCCCAAAGTATTTGAGTCTGGGTACTCGAGGCATGAACCAAGCCATCATAAAGGCAAGCAGCGTGATCGGGTCCAAATTTGCTGCCAACGACTTCCTTGATTGTAGATAAAATCAGCAACCAGCCGAATCCAAACAGCAGGAACCAGTTATCGTAAATCCAATTAAATATGTGTCCTTAAAACCCACAAATAGCAGCAGAGATACATCATCAAGTCTTCCAGTTGATGAGATATCCAGCTGCATGCGTGCCAACAGAGAAAATCGGCTCGCCTAAAGCCTGTCTTCTCTTCGAAGAAATGTTGTAAAATGAGTTGAGAGACCAACTGATCAAAACAGGTCCATAATTATGGTTCGGAACATATGCAAGAGAGTCTTAGAAGCAGTTTCACAGACAAAGCATTAAAGCAAAGCAGAGAGGGAGGGGAAGGGAGAAGCGTCCAATCTCGGCAAGAGCAAGTGGTGAATTATCCCGCCTTCAATGGGCGTAAAAAAAGTGAGCTGGATTTTCTCATTAGTTTCACTAAAATCCCTTAGAGCTGCATATTTAGATGTGTTTTTGTTTAAATTTTGTCAGCGCTGAGGGAGGAAGGATGAGTCAAAATCAGTGACAGAAACAAAACATTACCAGGAGAGATCTAATAAAGTTCAGTCAGGTCCTCTGGATGTTTTTTGTTTTGTCAAAACGTTTCGTCTTTCATCCAAAAGACTTCATCAGTCCAAGGAGCTGCAACAAGCTCAGTCTTGTAAATAGCACCTTCACATAGTGGGTCAACCAGTTTGATGGTGCTCAGGTGGTTTCTGTAGTCCGCCCCCTCCCCCGCCAACTCATTTGAGGCAGCCATGGGCAAAGTGTTCAAAATATATTGATTCATGCTCAATAATCCAGGTAGAAAAATTTAACAAAGATTAGGATTATGGATTATTGAGCATGAATCAGGTTATCAGGAGAGACTTTTCCTATTTAAATGGATCTTCAGCTGTAAAGTGTCTTACCGAGTAAAGGGCAGATGATCGTTCTGATCCGTGTCCTGTTTGGTTTCCTGTTCTGGCTGGAGACTGAAGTGCAGCTGGTTCTGAGAAGGTTGATCAGCTACAGTGTAACTCACTGTCAAACAGCCCTGCGCTGCATCTGAACTTTGAGACTGCCGAGCAGAAAAATGTGTCATTCTGACTGAAAACAGTACGTTTAGATCCAGTTCTGTGTTTTGATTTGTACAGGTCCTACCTTTCCGGTGAGCTGGGCATAAATCAGTGACCTCTGACCCTGGAAAAGCATTGTGATTGGTGGAGAGAGGAGGGTGGCTGACACTCCGTCTGGTAACTCCCACGTGACTGAGACGTCAGCAACAAGTGGCTGTAACGCGAATCGTAGTGACTGCATCACCTGGCAGAAAGAATAAAACTGGTTAAACAAAACCTACAGCTAAACTCGACTCTGATTTTAACGTATATATTTTCCTTCCCTGTAATAACCTACTTTAGGCTGCATCCTTTCAGCTCCCGTGATGAACTGAGCGTGACCTCTGCCTTCTCTCGCCATCCCACAGACGAGAGCAGAGCAAGCTCCTTCTCCAATCCCAAAAGTGAAACACCTAGAGTACAGAGAAGTGGGTTTTCTTCAGGTTTATCAAAGACATGGACACGAAACAGGTCATGAGTCAGGTTAGTGTGGCCTCACCTGTGAGAATCAGAGTTTGTCTTCACCTCATCTAGAACGATTTTAGTGTACGACACCTCACCATCGGTAAAAACAAACAGCTGGGGAAGAGAGCTTAATTTTATATCGTTGCCTGATAAAACAAGGCAGATTAATGATCACCGTGTCACTGTGTTTTCTTTGAACCACGTTTATATTGCGCTGGGGCTGTGGGAAGTATTGCATTACACAAGCAGTACCCTGATGTCCTCCTCTGAGGGATTAGAATAGTGAACGTTTGTAGTTTTCCAGATGAGTCTGGATAGGAATTGAACAGGGAATGTAAGTTAAATTAATGTTTTAGCTGCAAGATACTGAAGTGTGTAGGAGTTACACTGTGGAGAAGAACAGTAATAAACAATTAAACAAAGTTTAGCGCCATTTGAGTCATATTTGTAGCATTATGTCCTGATAAGTCTAATTATTAAGAAAAGAAAAAGAGAGAAACTCACTACACAGTTGTCTGGTAATCCACTCTGATTAATAAAATCCCAACTAAATTGACATTTTTACTGAGCAGGATTACAATAAATAGTTTATTAAACCATTTAGCCCAGTCTGGACAGGAAAGTAGAGGCTATTGCATCATTGACTGGTGTGTGTTTGTGTGTGTGTGTGTGGTGTGGGGGTTGTATGTATGTACTGGTGATGGTTAGGTTTAGGGTAACGGTCAGGGTTAAGCTATAGAAATGGATGAAAAATGAATGGAAGTCAATGCAAAGTCCCTGTAAAGATAGAAAGAAACTGTATGTGCATGTGTGTGCATGTGTGCATTACTTGTCTTGGTCTTTTGGGAACACAGGGCTGTCTGTAGATATGTTGGAGTGGCTCCAAGATTTCTGTTCCTCCCAAGTTAGCGCCCATCTCTTCAACTTTTTTTACAGCCTGATTCAAAGTTTTCTGTCCGTACTTTACACTTTTACTGTCAATAAAAATAATAATAATTGCAAACTTTAGTGAGTACAATTGTTACACACCAGCAGTAAGGAATGTACAAACATACAGGCAAAAGCTTACGGGAAGATGTTTTCAAAGGTGGATCCGAAGCTGTAGATGTTGAAATAGCAGCCCATCGGTAAACTCTTCAGCAGAAGCAGCAGAGTATCCTTTGCCAAAGAGAGAGGGACAGAAAGTAAATGCCACTTTATGACTGGGACGCCATAAAAACACAGAATATGATATTTTTACACTTAAAAAGATTACCCGGGCACTGGCAATACGAGTCAGATGACTTCCAGCCCACATGGGGAAATCCATACTCGCTGATCGATCCAGCAGGAACACAAACTCCCCTCGTGATGTGAGCGGAGACTCCAGAGATCTGGGGATCTCAGGGTACAGACTCAACATCACCACTGGATCACCCATCAGAGTGCCTGGCACCAAGGACAAACCCTGTGTTTCTATACCAACACACCATGTTGAACATCTACCAAAAAACATTTCCTAGTACCCTGATGCATGCTCAATAATCCAGGTAGAAAAATCCAACAAAGTCAGGTCCTCTGGACAGATTAAGAAAATGAATAAATAATAAATTGTTGAAATGTTTTGTCTTTTATTCTTAAGACTTCATCAGTCTGAGAAGCTGCACTAAACTCAGTCCTATAAGCAGCATCTTCTCATAGTGGATCAACCAGTTTGCTGCTGACAGCCAGAACTAGCTGTTCACATGATCAAGGAGGACCATCGGCCTAACGACTGATCGCATTTCCCAGTACGTTTAACAAAGAAAACAAAAAGTTTTTTAAACGTGTAGTGAACAAAACTTTGATAATTAATGTTCTTTGTGGATGACCATTAACTCGGATGACTTAATTGTTTTTATCAACTTGTCCACTCCTCTATGCTTGAAGGTGGTCTTACTTTTGTTTATGTATACATTTTTTTTAATAAAGGATTCAAGGATTTTTATTGTCATAACAGCTCATTTGCATGTTTGTGGTACGAAATTCAGACTCAGGTCCCATATCAAGAAGCCTAACAATTAACAAATAAATACATACCAAAGAGTACAAAATTATATATAATAAATAAAGTAAATTAAAAAAATATATAAATTTAAAAAGCAGTGAAAAAGATATCTTGAAGATATCTTTTAAATTTATCTTGTAAATATTTACGTGGTCCAGTAATATTGAGGCTACAGGTTGTGTCAGGAAGAGCAACTAGTGTAAACTACCGTAATTTCCGGACTATAAGCCGTTACTTTTTCCACACACTTTGAACACTGTGGCTTATACAATGATGCAGCTAATTTATGGGTTTTCACAGGCTAACGAGCTTTATGCAGTCAAAACATTTAGCCTCATCACGTCAGACCAATGAAGTTACTGTACAGGTTACAGAGGACCGACGAAACTGTTCGAATTACACAACAAAGTATTTGCAGCCCCTCGACACCTGTGTGAACTGTGTATTTAAAGTGACGCTCCGAACTCAGTGGGAAGCTTCGATGACTAGCGGTGAGAAATCATTTACCAAAACTGGCAGCATGCAAAGAGTAACTTTTGCCCCAGTCTGCCCAGTGGATCCTGAGAGCGGAGAAGGTAAAAAAAAAAAAAAATCCATTATCACGACGGGTTTCGAAAGACTGGACATCTGCGTGATGAAGAGAAGAGCACAAGCTCTAGTGCGAACTGGCCTCGAGATGAAAGTGACATTGAGCATGACAACAAAAGAGAGACTGAGGATGTTCATGATGAAGTTTTTCTGAGGCTGTTCAATTCTGACACTGAAGAAGACGACTTTAGTGGTTTTAGTGCACAGGAGGAAGATGAACAGTGACTTTTCCTGGTCGGCTACTGTATTTTTTTTTTTACCAGCCGTGTTACAGGCACTGTTCAGAAAAATACATTTACTGTACATATTTGTGTATGTTACTGGCACATATTTCATTAAAAGTTTTAAAAAATCATGTGTGACATCTTTCTGCGTAAAAATCTCATGTTACAACGTGGACACCTACCGCTCATAGACAAGTGTGGCCTACATATGTACAATTTTTTTTAAGTTAGTGGGTACAGCTTATATTCAGGTGCGCTCTATAGTCCAAAGATTATGGCAATTGTCCAATTTTTCACGTAAATTCACTTGCTGTGGCGAAAGGAGCAGCCCCCCCCCCACCACCACCACCAAAACACAAACAAACCTGTATGACCATTTTGCTCAAACACTGACTCCTACTATACTATTGTAAAGCTCCTTCATCTAGTTATTTGTGTGTGTGTGTGTGTGTGTGTGTGTGTGTGTGTGTGTGTGTGTTTATTAATTAAAGGGAAAAAAAAAGAGACAAAAGTGTGTTTTAAAAATCTGTTAAAAGCCAAATATATATATTTTTGTATAAAGTGTACTTAATATTTAGAATGGAAAATTTTAACTATACAGTAGTCCCTCGTTTATCGCGGGGGATCCGTACCCTGAAGCCCCGCGATAAGTGAAAAAACGTGAAGTAGGAATAGTAGTACAAATCGTAAGTAGTACTTTATTTTAGTATACCTGTATGTTAAGGTGTTTTAAACCCTTCCCACACACTTGCAATATTCGAAACAATGTTTCTAAACTCTAAACGCTCAGATAACAGAATGTCATGATTTCGGCTCCCTGCCTCCGGCTGCTCTCTCAGCCACGCCCACTTCACTCTGCACAAGATCAGCTGATCAGCTGAAGGAGGAAGCTTGTCCCACAGCTGTGGGCTGCACACAGGTGCTAAATCATTTGAAATTATTTATTTTAAAAAAAAATTCCATGCCGATCGTGCGGCCCGTCCATCAATCAGCCAATTGTGTGTCATGTCCAATCTTATTTTGAAAAACTGCAATAGAGCGAGTCCGCGAAAAACCACCGCAAAGTATCGAGGGACTACTGTAATGCTTTTTAAAAGAAATTCCAACTCATGGAATTAGTTTTTCATTTGTAAACTGATAACTTTATTAGTTTCCACCCACCTGTCTTGGCAGAGGTCTGTCCTGCTTCCACCACAGCAGTGGGCTGGTGGGCGTCTTTGTAATAAATCAGCACCTCAACGTCTCTGTCAAACTTGTGTCCTGCAGCCAACTTCACCTTCAGATCAAACACACACATATGAATAAAGTTATTTATCTTTGTATCAACCACAAACAGCAGTAACATGAGCTTTCTACGCACCGAGGCCTGAGTTTGATCAGTGTTGAGGTACTGAAGAGGCTCCAGGGAGCTGCTGGACTCTACTTTAGAGACTGGGCGAGGAGAAGACACTTGGACAGAAAAGGACAGACTGTACGGGACCTGAGAGGTTGGAACTGAGGACACCTGGACACTGGGACCCTCACTACCTGCAAACATCAGGTTTGAAATGTTCATTTAATCAGGATATTTTAAAGTGACATTATTTAGGCTCATTAGAATTTCTGCTCCAGTAACGAGCTGTTTAATTAGAAAGTGATTAGTAGCAGACTCATGCTACGTAATAAACTAATATTTGTTGCTCTATTAAAAATATATATTTCAAAAGTTTGACCATAAAAGGTTCTGCTAAATACGGTTTTTATGAAGTTCTAAAACAACAAAAAGGTGCTTTTTTTAATTTAAAATGTGAATCTGCACACATAAAAACAAATTCAAATTATATTAAGGTTTTATATTTTGTTTTGTGATTCTTTCAAACACATCTGCATTACAAGAACAACTTGGGCTGAAAGTTAAAAGCTCATTTTAGTGCATTTAAGTTGTTTTTATCAAAATTCTGTAGCATAAGATTTAAACATTAATAAGCATTATTCAGGAAAACGATTCTAAAAACAAATATTAAGCAGAGTTCTTCTGGTCATAGCTAATAAAACTTTAAATAAATCTCTTTGTTTAGATATAATAAAAAATTATAAAAGTTTTTCCTATACAATTCTTCAGTCAAACTTCTGAATACTTTGTGATATTATTTAGAAAAATAAAATGTCCATCTCAATCAGGAATGATTGTGCACTTGGTGTATTTATGAATTGTTTTCATGCTTTATTAATAATATTTTTAACAAAATAATCCCATAGAAATACACTGAGATATTATAAATTCCTATGAATCAGTTCTCAGAAATCTAATTTAGCATACTTGCTCAAATTTTGTCTTCTTGTGCTCCGTGGGCTCAAACGTGAGCAATATGTGGCGTGGCCCTTGAGCAATCACCACCCGGCCCCTAAGAATCTTAATTGATTTAAAAAAGGACTAAAAAAAAAAAAATGATGAAAACCTGCAATTTATCAATGAAACTTAAGGAAATTTAAATTAAGCCTATTGAACAAAAATCAATGAACACAATTAGTTTAAGTAAAAATGTATTTCACGTTTGGATGTTTCCAGACTTGACTAAACCTTAAAGATTCTTTAGACACTTTTTTTTTTTTTGCATATTTAGGCTAAGATGTTCAGAGATAATTTACAGAAAATATGTTTTATATTCCTAAATAATACTGGGGAGGCATTTTTTTTAATCTTGCATGCTAATTATGTTGCAAGAAGAAAAAGCTTTAATAAAAATAAGTCTTCTGGATTATCAGTCTTAAAAATGCATCTTCAAATTATCAATGCAGCCTTTCTATTGCTTTAAATATGTTGATTTGGACCTCTGGAAAAAAATGTTGCTCACCTCTGATTTAGCTAGCATTTTGCTCGTTTTAGCACTTTTGGTGGTATTAGCTTTTATCTGCAGTTTTACACATTTTTTCTTGTAGCTAATTGTTTTTAGCTGCAATTAGGGTAATCTTAGTGTTTAGCTACAATTTTGATAATTTGAGCTTTCAGCAACAGTTTTGGTAATTTTAAGCTTTTGTGACATTTTTTTGCTGAACATAGCTTTTAGGTTTGCTGATTTTAGCTCCTTTTCTGCTTGTTGTAAATTTAACAGTTTTGTTAAATATTCTTTAACAAATTTCAGCAACGTGATTCTTCATTCAGGCTGCATTGTTAAAGAAAATGTGATTTCTGTAGTCAGGAAGTTATTTTGAGACAAAACGGACCTTCAGTAGAAGTCGTTAGGAAGTCCTTATTAATGACGGTTTATGAGCTAACATGCAGATATCTGAATGCTATTGAACAAGTAGTGAATGGTGTTAAAACACATTTAACTCAACATTAACTGTCTGAAAGTAAATTATGAGCTTTTGATGCTGAAGAGAGAAGAGAAACAAAACTCAATCCAGCTTTGTGTCTGTGTTGTGCAAATCCTCCCCATTTTCCAACTCAAAGATGCAATCAGCAATTACAGGAAATTATTCACGTGTTAAACTCCACAAGTTGGGACATGTCTATCTTCTTTGTGTCATAAACATTACCTAATTACAGAAACCCCCAGAGACATTTAACAACCCCACACAGATGTGTTACAGAGGCTAAAAGTTTGTGTTCCGAGAGCTTGTTTGGCAACCCCAGAATGACAGGAAGTGATTCATATTTCTTCTACTGGACCTCCTTATCTGACGTTGGAGCGTGTTTTCCTGGATGTTGCAACAGTTGCGTGTCTTCCTCTGTGCTCACCCCTCTGAGCAAACACTCAAAACTAGAGGTGTTCTTTTTTAAGCTGGGTAAGGGAGACTTCTGAGCTGTGCAAAAATGTTTTCTGGTGTGAATGTACATCCTACCTTGAGGTTGGTAGCGAGGGTTGAGCACGGCAGGCAGACAGAACCTCAGCCCGTCATCAGCCTGCACAGCCAGCTCAGTGACGTACTCCAGCCTGATGGAGGCGCTCTCTCCTGGAGGCAGACTGCCCACACTCAGGGAGAAGATATCTGGACTCTCTGCGCTCTCCTCCAACAGGAAGGCCTGCTGACCGGAGCTCAGTGCATCATCATACTCCTCCCGAGCCTGCAGTCCACATTAAATATGTCGTGAACTCTCACTTCATTGTGCTCCTCTCTAGATAGAAAATCTTTCTGTCCAGCTCACCTGCTGCTTCTCCTTGACCTCAGCTACAATGTGTTTCTGTCCGATCTCAGCACTGAAGTGACACACAGCAGCATCTCCAGGCAGAGGGAAGACAAAAACAGCCTCTAGTGGTTTGTCCTCCTTGTTCTCGTAGTTCAGAGTGGAGACAACTGTAGCTACATGGTCCCTGACCTCCACACGAACATCAATGCTCTGCAGAGGAACTGGGAAAAAATATGGTTCATAGTAAGTTATTAGGATGAGAAAACTTCTGTTCTGCACGAAATCTGAAGTTACTGTTTGATTTCTAACAGTGGTCAGGGAGGAATTTGGCTGGTCTTAAATTTATTTGGCAACATTATAATAATCCCATTTGAGTCAAACACCTCACTGCAGGTCTAATTCAGGTTTTTCCTCTCGCAAATAAACTATTAAAAACAATCAAATAAACCTTTGGACTCTGTTCATAAGTTATTAAAGCACCCTTATTACTCTTTGTCCATCGTTCTTCTTTGTTTGTCACAACTTTAGATTGTCATCTCCTGCAGGCTGAAGCTTTGGGAGGAATAATAAAACAAGTTACATCCAAACATGCAGCTAAAATGATAAAACGAGTGAGAAAACCCAGCCCTCTATGGAGCTCTGTATCTCAGACACATTCATCACAGAAACACCATTTATAATTTAATCCAGTTGTTAAAAAAGATGATATTGACACGACTGGACTGTTATGGTTTTTCAAACACTTTGGACACAACTGCAGTTGAAGCTTTTATGATTTTGGAAATAACGTGTCAACTTGATGGCCACACACTAACTTCTGCACGTCTAATGTTTCTAAGCAGACAAAGTCTTCCCACTCCTGCAAACTTGACACTTAAACATCTGCTTTCCCACAGAGTGTCTCTTTCTGCAGTAAGATTTGTGTTTTTCTCTCAGGTGCCCTCAGCGTGCAGAACGTGCACACCCTGACTCTTTTTGACTGTTCTTGTATCTGAGCTCACTTTTTCCTCAAAACAGGAAATGGTCTTCATCATCTTGTATCTCCTGCATAACACACTGCGGACAAACAAAAACTGACAACTGGACAATTCTGCTACTCACATATCAGTGTTTTTTTTTTTTCAAGACAACTAAAGTCTCACTCTCAACATGCTGTATGTGCTCCTACAGGGAGTCTACAGGAATTATTATTTTATTAATCTTTATTTAACCAGAAAACATCCCACTGAGATCACAGATCTCTTTTGCAAGGGAGGCCTGGGCCTGAGGCAAACAGGAATAAATATGACTAGGCCTGTATCGAAAAATAATAAATCAATTAATCGCATGATAAATGAAAATTATCAACCTCATTTTCATTTACCGGTTTTATTGTTTCTTCATCTCTCTCTTTCTACTGAAGACACTGGACGACAAAGGGCTCAACTCCGGTGTTCCTCACTGACCCCTAAAAGCTGTTAAAAACAGCTAAGCTGAGAAGCTAAGCTAACAGGCCGACCTCGGGGAACAAACATCTGTCTTGTTGAAGCTCCATAATTCACGGTTGAAACCCGTGCTTTTGTGCAAAAAGTTGTTTTCCTCTGCAAAAAAAAGCTGAGAACTTGTTCACTGATTTTTTTTTTTTTTAATTAAAAGCTTTGTGTGAAAAATGCTATGCTAAAGAGCTCAAACCACACCGAGCGTCCGCCATTTTGAGAACTGAATAAAGGAAGGAGAGACAGCCCATGTCACGTCAATGGGCCTCCCTCCCATTTTTCTTAAAGAGACACGCTGCTCGCTCCCTCACTATCCATCCTTTGGTTCAAAAAGTCTTATACTGCCATCCGGTGGTCAAAAAAGTTACTACATGCAAAATAAATTAACCAACGTTTCTTCTTAAATTTGACAATAATTACTAATTATTGTCAAATTTCAAACAATATTATCGTTTATCGCAATAATTTCTGAGACAATTAATCGCCCAGCAAAATTTGTTATCGTGACAGGCCTAAACACGACCATTGCTTCTGCATGTCACTGGTTTAGACCGATAGGACAGTGGTCCCCAACCTTTAGAGAGGAAGGCTACCTCTACAAGTTCTGAAAACGCCTCCCCCTGAAGGTCATAGACTGGTCACAGAGACTTTTGGTCCAGCATAAGCAAATTACATGTTTTGTAAAAATCAAAAACACAAACGAAACTTCAGGTGTGCAGGTTGGGAAGAAGCCAGGACCTTAACCAGCAAGACATTAAGGTTGAGGTACCTGATGTAAATTTTTCTCATCAGAAAGTTACTCTAATCAGTTAAAGACAAACGTACGTATCCAAACAATACAAAACGTAGATCACCATCCACACACAACTGCAACAATCAGAGCACAAACTCAAATGAGTTGACTTAATTTGAGCATTTAAAATAGCATTAACTGCTGGTTTGTACAGAAAATGAGTTTTTCCACAAAGCTATGAAGGCCCAAAATGTGCAGGTATGTTTTATGGTAATAGCAGGTATGATATCCAGACCTGCATCACGGACAGATAAAAAAATAAATAAAAATCAGACTTCTAGCACAACAAGCACCAGTAAACTCTGAATCAGTCATTTTAGTTGTAGTTAAATATAACAACAGTTTTATTTACTGCTCCTCATTAAGAGTGCAGTCAGGGAGTGACAGACAGGTGTGTGGTTACCATGGTGACCCTAATGAGCCACAGGCAGGCAAATTAATTTTATTAGTTCCCTCCTTTACACTTCTCAAACATGCACACGTAGGCATTTTGTCAGGTTACATTTCTCCAAAAATAGCAGAGAAAGTCAACTCAGTTTTTGTTGTTTATGTCCTAATCCATGATAATCCTGCTCTTGAATCAGGATTAAACATGGTACAACTGTGGATGGAGACGGTACCTGGTTGCTTCTCTGGAGTCAGCAGCCCACAGCAGTCTGACATCCTTCTGGGACAGGGAGGGAGAATATCTGACAGCTTTCTGCAGGAGTTAAAGACTAACACACGCATGAAGAAAGTCAGGATTCAAATGTTTGATTTTTAATTAATACATTTAATTCATAATTCTGATTTCACAGTCATTCCTGTTCAGACACATGTGACAAGAACAATTGTGTAGACATATAGTTTACAATTATATTCTAAGGCCAAACACTCCTTGAAGGAATGCATGTTGCCCGCCGCCTTTCATTCGTCCTTTATTTATTCAGGTTAGTCTCATTGAGCCTCGAGGACTCTTTTACAAGAGACCTGAATTTTTAACAAATAGTGACGACAACAGTAGACAATCATTAAAAAAAAAAACCACATAAATTAAAAAAATTAATGGAAGAAAATGATGTTAAAAAACGAACTTCATGAACTTCAGACTGAAACCCTGCTTTGAGAAACTGAAAGTTGGTCATATTTTAAAAGCATCGTTTGCAGCCCACTCTACGTCACGTCACGTTGGGCCGCGTGGGTTTAAAGAAAGCACGCACCTACCTCAGCTGTGAAGATCAGGCGGGCTTGCAATAGGCGCGCGTCAATTCTCTTCAACATCTGGGTGTTCAGAGCTGACATCTGTTGTTAAACGCCAGGATGACGTCAGAGCCGCGCCTCTCGGGTGCGCTCGCTTTATGACACAGGACGACAGACAGGGGCGAGGCGATTTTTTTTTCACCCCCATCCTGGTTAAATTTAATAGTGTTCTTGTTTCTAATTTCCCCCACACGCTTTTTGAACTTATTGTTTCTGCATACCTGCAGCCATTCAGGACATCCATTTTACAGCTACACCTTTTGGTTTTATACTGTTTGAATCATTTAAATTTAAGTACAACCCCCCCCCACCACCACCACCACCACCACCACCACCACCACACACACACACACACACACACACACACACACACACACACACACATAATCCCTTTATGCTTTTTTTTTTTACTTGTAGTTTTAAAGTGTTTTTGCATCCCTTTAGTCACTTGTCCCCCAGAGGAAATGGAAATACCCCGCAGGGACTTCACTGCCCATCACTTATATGTACATGTAATAATCCACAGCTGTGCTTTTCTTCAGAGGCAGATTTTTATAAATTTCACTTATTAAATTTCAGTTCAGTTTATTTATACAGCATTGTCTCAGGGCACTGAACAGAAACATTCCTAAGACAATATTTATGTAAGGAAGCCCTCTAGTCCAGTATGGAAACCCATTTCTGCCATGAAAGAAAAAATAAAAGCCCAACAGTAAGTCATAATTTTGACTTTTAAAGTCATAATTATGACAAAGTCATAATTATGACTTTAAAAGTTGTAATTATGACTTTAAAATTCAATTACGACTTCCCGTTCGGCTTTTATTTCATAGCGGAAATGGGCTTCAATACTAAATGCTATAGAAAGTGGCGATGAAAAGATGTATACATTACATACCTTTATTTAAAGAATTGATGTTTGAAGGCAGATCCTGTTGGGCTTTTATTTTTCTTTCATGAGAGAAATGAGCTTCCATAAGTCTGCCCCTCAAGGAAGAGATCATGTATTCAACATAAAGCTGTAGATTTGATCAGTGTCAAGTTAAAGCCAATGCTAGATGTGGTATTTAAATTATTAACAATGATAATTGACTAGGATAATAAAACACATATAATGTAATTCTAAACATTGTAGTTCCTTTTGTGCACGAGGTTATGGCCCGGACAAGCAAAAACCTTGTGTGAAACATTTGACCTTGATTTATGACCTTGATCTTAGAGTTTAGGTAACCAAACGATACTGGGACACGTTATTTAGTCCTGGTACAAATGTGTCTAAAGTTTTATTACATTATCTTGAGCAGATCAGAAGTTTTGTTTCGGACAACCAAGGACTTTTTAAAACATTTGACCGTTATTTGTGGTCTTCAACTTGGAGCTGGGCTGAAGGAACGTGTCCAAAAAGGTTAAGACATTTTGGTACGATGAAATGTGAGAAACATTATAAAATGTACGTTGCACCAAATTAACAATGTCCTATGTAAACTATGAAAGGGTTCGTTTCTCGTAACACCTTTATAAAAAATCCACACAAGACGAAGCGTAAGTTTTCAGAACGGCCTTCTGCAGAAGTGGGAGTTCAGCTCGACCAAGCGTCAAGAGATGAAGTCCGACTTCCTGCTCTGTGACGTTCGTATTTATTGAGTGAAGTGGGTGTGGGAACAAGACAGCAAACTCAGCTTCTCTGACACAGCAGAGACACAAATATTAGGCAAATATGATAAAGAAATACACAACAGAGACAGATTGAGGCTGGATGTGCAAGGTCAGAACTAAACAACAGCATATGTTTGTAGAAATCCAGGGTCTGGTCTTAGCACACACACGAGCTGCAAACAGGAACTCTGGGTGTTTGGTGTTTCTGCACATAGGAAAACTGAAGTGGGCTTGAGTTCACACGACTGAAGCAAATAGTAAGAAGTCTAAAACAGTTTAAATGGTAACACTTTTAAAATTACCCAACAAGAGGCTTCAGCTTTAACAGTCCTGCTTGATGGGAATGATTTTCACTTGGATTTAAATACCAGTAACTAAACCAAGAAAAAATGTTATGATCAAGACAAGATGAAGGAAGTTCCACAATGATTGAAGACTAACAGTTTATTCACCAGACATACAGGTACATTCACTGGATTCTTATTTGGACATAGTCATTTGGGTTCATTATTAATTCATCAATTCTAGATTATTTACTGAATCCATTTCAGATACAAAGCAAAACTAAACATCTTTTGTGTTCCTTTGCATTTTTAGCACAAATACAGTGAAAACAAACTCAGGTACATTGGCAAATATATGGCTAAATATTGCACCAGTAATATGCAGCAGAAAGCTTGTTAGAAGGACAAAGCCTGCTTCTGTTGAACCATCCTGAAGGTGGAGCCTCTCCACAGAAAAGCTCAGAGCCCCAGAGCTTCTTTCTTCACGCTGCAACCCAACAGAGCGTTTCCAGCTTCAACGCACTCCGACACACACGGAGCTGAAAATAAGAATAAAATGTTTAGAAAAGTGATTTTATTTTAACACGGTAAAAGAGTCGCCCTTCATCGTGGGTAAGTACCATTCTGAGCATGAAGCCATGACGCGGCCTTCACAGACAGAAGCTCCCACTCCTCTTTTGCATCCAGTTTGAAACCATGAAGCCAGATCAGAGCCAGAATGGTGGCGTAAACCTCCTCCTTGACCTATTTCACAAAAAGAAACTACTGGTAATTATGTTCAAGACAACATCTGTAAATAATACCATGAAATAAGCTGCACTAAAGATTGCATGTTACATTGGATTAATAAAGTAGCCACACCCATTTGCATTTTGTTTTGTTAAACCTAAATAAATTAGGTTTTTAACTTATTTATTAGTCAAGGATCCACACAAATACTTCAGACTGATTAAGTTAAATGGAAAAAATAACATTTTAGGTCCAACAAAGTTAAATCAGGTCCTCTGGACGGTTTCTTTTTGCTGAAACGTTGTGTCTTTTATCCAAACGACTTCATCAGTCCAAGGAGCCACAACAAATTCAGTCTTATAAATATCACCTTCACGTACTTAAGTGTTTTCCCTGTTTATGTTACTGTTTTGGAATATTTTGTGTAGGTCCATTACTAATATTTTATTGAAAATCATTTAAATACCAATGATGGTGACTGTATTTTTTTCAGCTTACTGTTTGTGTTTCAAAATCCGTTTAATAATCCATATTTTATCGTTTTTCTTTTGAACCAGTAACCTGTTTGAAAATTGTCAAAACTGATGATTAAGTTAGAACATGGACCCACCGCTGCAGGTTTGGACTTTTCCACCTCCTCACTGCTCTTTCCCAGCACAGCAGCCAGATGTGCATCAAGCAGCCAGCAGCCAGAGGCCTTCTGCAGGGAGACCAGCTGCAGCAGGGGGTCTCTCTGGATCTCTGCGGCTTCAGGTTCTTCATCTGCATAACCTGTTTGTAGAAAAAGACAAAGAAAATGATAGAGCAGAGATTAAACAGACTTTTTGATTTTAACTCCTGGTTTGGAGAATGTTTTATAGATCTACATTTTCTTATCTCTAGTAAAGGTTGATCACATAACTGGACCATCTCCTCACTCAGCAAACACCAAACTAACACACAGGAGGAGGTTTGAAGCACTTCTAAGTAGTCAGTATCTTTCTGGATCTCTGAAAGCAGTGCACCGATAAATCGGCCCCGATTTCCTTAATCTTGGGAAATCGGCCGATACTTGCATGAGAAACCGATTTTACCGATTTTTTTTGTTTTAACAACAATTTTATGAACTTCATTTATATTTCAGAGCACTGCCTCATGGCCAGTTAAAACAAATTTGTATGTTTCTATGATATTGTTCAAGGGTATGTTCTTCAATAAAATATTATTGGAAAATTGAAGGTGCATTGTGATCTTATAACACCGGACAGTGTCGCTTCTAATCGGAATCGGCAGGTCAGACTTTTTAGAAATCGGTGATCGGCCAGAAAACTGCAATCGGTGCACCCCTAGAAAGCAACATTCATCTTTTCTAATACTGGCTTTCCACTTCATACCACCTTTGTAGAAAAGCCTTTGATGCCGATTCAACATTCACATTATTTTGCTTTTTGATTTTCCCTGGACATGTTTTGCAGTCTAACTGCTCTGTGCCAATTTAGTCAGTCATGTATGAGAGCGTTCAGCTCAAATCTGTTACAATCCGCTTGCTTTAGTTCAGTCCTATGATACTTGGGCAGCTGTGGCCGAGTGGTTAGAGCAGTCGTCCGCCAATGCTGGTTCGATTCCACCAGCAGTCACATGCCGAAGTGTCTGGGCAAGACACTGAACCCCTCATTGCCTCCTATGTGTGTCCCATCGGTGTTTGAATGTGATAAAGCACTGATTAGTCTTGTATAGATCTAGTAGAGTGCTGTATTAATGGGTAAACGAGGGCACGGTTTTTACTGTAAAGTGCTTCGAGTATCTTGACAAGATGGAAAGGCACTATACAAGTACACTCCATTTACTTTGAGTTTTCAGCTAGCATGCCAGCTTCTTTAAGCTTAAATAAGTCAGTTTCAGAGTCCTCAGCAAATTTCAACAGCCATTCAGGAATGAGACTACATTTTCACAAAAAATACAATTTCACTAATTTGTTCCTGTGTTCTCTTCCCTAGAATCCATAAAGAATGTGCAATTCCTATTTATTGTTTTACTTACGTTGTTTACGTGTCTCAAGTTTAAAACGACCGTGACGCTGCTTGCTCTCTGAGGCACAAGAAACCGTTTCAATATTTCAAATATATACATATATACATACATATATATACACATATATACATATATATACATACATATATATACACATATATATATATATATATATATATATATATATAAAAACTAAAAAAAAAAAAACTAAAAAACAGCTGAACACAGAAGGAACAAACTAAATGGTACTAAACTTATTCTCAGTTTGCCACAACAAAGTCATTAAAACACACCAGTGAATGAAAATAGAATAAACAACTTGGTATAAGTTTGTATTTTTGTCAACAGATATAGAACTCCACAATGTTTTTAGTAAGTTATTGATACTTTTACTCACTTGTTAAAAACTGAACATCATGAGTAATGGGCAGGCAGTCGGCAACTAACAAGAGAGAAGGAGGTTTGGTAAATCATTTGCTTCAAAGCATTAAAAAAAAAACAACTTTGGTATAAACAGGAAAAAAATCTAACAAAACATTGTTCACACTAGAACAGGATATATTAATAACAGACGTGAAAATTGTCATTTCATCCATTTACTAAAATGGACATCCATTCATGCCAATTGCACACTCCCTCAAAACGTGCAACATCTGTGGCATTGTGCTGTGATAAAACTGCACATTTTAGAGTGGCCCTTTATTGTGGTCAGCCTAAAAAAAATTGAACGCAATTTTGGACAGAAATAAACGTGACATTTCAGAAGCTTGTATAAATGATGCCTTAGTGAATGTGTGCCATTGTCGAAGCTGAAGTTGTTCCAACAAAATGTTAGTGTGAATTTTTTTTTTTTTTTTGGGGGGGGGGGGGGGGCAAACAATGTACTTTCAGTGGGCATATAATAAAAAGAAAGAACAACTGAAGAAAGAGCTATGTGTTGTCATCATTGTATGTTTATATACAATGACGACATTTGTTTTCTGCATTTAACCCATCACACCTGATATACACCTAGGTGAAGCAGTGGGCAGCTACTGAGCCTCCAGGGAGCAATTAGAGATTAAATGTCTTGCTCAAAGACACCACAGCATGTGGAGATTGCTGGGAGTTGAACTGCAACTTTCTGGTCCCAAGTCACCCAACCCCACCCCAAAAAAGGTAGGCTGAGCTCTCAGGGCAAGTACAACATACCACACTCTGACTACCATTTATAACAAAAATAATAGTGCACAGCTTCACTCCCAGGTGTAAACTATAAATGGAATCAGATCCCTTCACACAGGAGGAAAACCTTACTACAAAGAAAAAAAGGCTAAAACATGCATAGCCTTACAGAGTCTTTGTGAGGGCTTCATGTGTATTTTTAGTGTAGTCCTTTTATTCCTGTGTAATAATAATAATATGTTCAACATTGCCCAAATGTTAAAGTCAGGCAGCCGTGTTTTTCAAAATGAAAGGTTTTTCCAAATGTGCTCCAATCTAGCCACGTTCTAATAGGTCATGTAGGTAGTGAAGAGCATCAAAGAGTAATGTGAAGGAAGTCATAAGAATGAGCTCCACATGTTAAAACCTGATGTTTCACTTCAGTGGGAGGTATTTATTTTCTTAACTGCAACAAACTGAAGATTGCTCCAGTGCTTCATGAACAGGATACAGACATTTCAGATAGTAACTTTTAATTGTTTTGTCAGTTAATCTGTGTATAGTTTACTGTGATTAATTTGGATAATTTGTACGTGTGGATTTTACCAGTCAGTGTGATTCAAATGGACACAACCTACAACGAAAGTTACGTATGTAACTATGGTTCTATGAATCCCGGATGACCGCCAGAGGGCGGTGCTGAAAGCACTGAATGTTCCCTTCGCACATGCGCTGTTCGAGTAATAACACCAACGGAGTCACAGGTGTGACACGGATGACCAAAGGCTATATAGCCCGACGTCATCCGCAGCTCTGCTCCTACAGAATCTTCTCGCGGAACGCAAGGATTCTGAGTGACAGAGAAGCTCTGGCGGTCATCCGGGATTCATAGAACCGTAGTTACATATGTAACTTTCGTTCTATTTCATCCCTCCTGACAGCCAGAGAACGGTGCTGAAAGCACTGAATGACTAATACCAACAATGTCACAAGGAATCCTAAACACCCACCTCACTGAGGAGGCCTAGAGGACCATTGTAGAAGAACCTGGCCCAGGGGATGAGGGGTGGCCACGTTAACTCTATAAAATCTGGTGAACGTGCTTGGGGAAGCCCATGATGCAGCAGCACATATTGCTTCCAGCGGAACCCCTCTCAGGGCAGCCCAGAAAGCGGAGAAGCTCCTGGTAGAGTGAGCCTTCAAGCCGACCGGCAGGGGGCCGGGCCCTGCAGCATAGGCGTGGCAGATGACGTCCACGATCCAGTGGGAGAGGTGCTGTTTGGAAAGAGGACAGCCTAACCTAGGACCTCCATAACACACATACAGCTGGTCTGAATGTCTTATCACGGCAGTAGCTGCAACGTATGCCTCCCGTGCCCTCACCGGGCACAATAATCCAGACCCCTCACCAGGCGTAGGCTGAAAACGTGCCAGTCTCAACGGTTGGTTACAGTGAGAGTGAGATAACACCTTTGGTACAAATGCAGTTTTTGGCCCCAAGGTAACAAGAGCCCTCAGGGCCCCACCTGAGACATGAGGGGCTGACTGAGAGAGCATGTAGCTCGCTGACCCTCTTTGCTGAGGCAATAGCCAACAAAAAAGTCGTCTTGCATGAAAGCCACTTGAGGTCCGCCTACGTCAGAAGCTCAAAAGGAGGGCGACACAGAGCTTCGAGAACCAAGGGCAGGTCCCAACCTGGTACTCGTGGAGCTGTCGGCAGGTGTGACCAAGTAGAGACTGAAGAAACTCCAGAATGGTGGGTACTGTACAGGAGACTGGATCCTCGTTGTGATCAGAACACCATTGGGAAAACAGACGCCACCTGTTTTTGTACTGCTGACGAGTAGAGGGTGCCCTGGAGCCCAGGATGGTGCGTCTGACGGGGATCGAAACTCCAGTCAGCTGCTGTCCTAGCCTTGCAGTGGCCACACCCACAGCCGAAGACGTTGAGTATTGGGGTGCCATATCAGTCCCCCCAACTGAGACAGCAAGTCTCTCCTGGTCGGGAGACACTATGGGACGCCCTGACATAGACTTCGTAGCAGCGGGAACCATGGTCGCGCTGGCCAATACGGAGCCACCAGCAGCATCCTGTGGCCCTCCTCGAGGACACTCTGAAGGGTTGGCCAAATTAGAGAAAGGGGTGGAAAGGCATATAGAAAGACCCTTGGCCAAGGATGAGCCAATGCGTCCTGGCCCAGTGCCCCCGTAAGAGAGTACCATAGGGGACACCGAGTCGACTCTTCCGTCACAAACAGGTCTATCTCTGCCTGACCTAAACAGTCCCAGATCATCAGCACTATGTCGCTGTGGAGGGACCACTCTCCTAGAGAGGACCCTTGGCGGGAGAGAAAATCTGCGACCTGATTGCGTTGCCCTGGTAAGTACGCTGCAAGCAGGGAGGACAGGCAAGGAAAGGCCCATTCTAGGAGCTCTCTGGACACTCTCAGAAGTTATGCTGACCAGGTGCCCCCCTGATGGTTGATGTGGTAGACAACAGAGGTGTTGTCTGACTGAAAAAGAACATGCCTCCCTTCCAGGTGAGGCAGGAAGTGCCTGAGTGCCAAGTGCACTGCACGCAGCTCCAGCACATTTATATGCTTGGAGTGGTCCCTTTGACCCCAGCGACCCTGAACCACTCTGCGTTGCCACACAGTCCCCCATCCCATGGAGCTGGCATCTGTCATGACCACTTCCCTGCGACACACTACCACTCCCATGGGGACACCCCCGGACAAATAATCCTCGTCCCTCCATGGAGTCAAGGCATGAAGACATGACCACATCACTGCGAGCTTGCGACGCCTGTGCAGCCTGGCATCCAGGCAAAAGCTGTTGAGCCACCTCTGTAAGGGGCGAAGTGACAGCAGGCCTAAGGGTGCCACCCGAGTGACTGAAGTCAGCTTGCCAAGTAGTTGCAGGAAGGCAACATAGGGGAGCTGCCTGCCCAGCCTGAACCGACTGACCAGCTGGAGTATGCCGGCCACCCTTTGAGCAGATGGGCAGGCTCTCATGGAAGATGAATCCAGAACCACCCCAAGAAAGGTGGTTGTCTGGGAAGGGATCAGGCAGCTCTTTTCCAGGTTGACATTGAGGCCCAACTGGGACATACGAGCGAGCAGGTGGTGAAAATATGCATCCTTCAGGTCTACAGACGTGAACCATTCTTCCCTCATGAAAGCTTGAAGGACTTCTGCTGTCGTGAGCATGTGGTTGGGCAGCTCCCTTAGGTACTGGTCGAGTCCCCTCAGGTCTAAAAAGGGACGAAACCCACCCATCCTCTTTTGCACGAGGAAGTAAGTTGAGTTATAGCCCCTGGGTTGTTGCAGAGGGTCCACTGCCTCTATTGCGCCCTTGGCCAGGAGGGCGGAAAGTTCCTGGTCTAGTGCTCGAGCTCTCACCGGGTCGGCGATTACAGTCATCTTGACCCGGCATGAGATGAGGCCGTCGTCGGAACTGTAGCCGGTAACCATGGGACAGAGTGGCAACCACCCATGGGTCCATGGCATGAGCTGCCCAGTAGCTGAGCTGCTGGTGGGAGAAATATCCGACAGTCGGCCTGATGGCATCAGGGGGGCGGCAGCCAGAGTCCCTGGTCCGAGCCTGCCCAGCTGGTCGGTGGAATGACCCACGAAAGCTCCTGCTGGGCCTTTGCTGAACCGCATGAGGGTAAGGACCACCCAGCCGGTTATGACCCCCAGGTGGCGGCTGCATGCTGGAGTCAGCAGACGGGTGCCCTGGATGCCGAGGAGGCATTGCCCTGCTAAGGCTTGAAAATTGCAGCCTTTTCTGTCATGCCTGGACAGTCTGTTCCAGCGCTTCTAAGGCAGCCGAACTGAACAACTCCCCCGGCACCACTGGGACATTACGGAGCGTTCTACGGCATGGCTCAGTCAATGCTGACTGCGCCAACCAGACCTGTCGGCGAGCCTGGACCAAGGAGGACATCACACGCCCAAGCTCCCTCGTCATTAGTGCAAAGGCCTGAAGTGCTGCATCGCTAAAGCCCATTGCTGCTGTCGCACCACTAGTCCCCTGAAGGGATGCGGAGAGGGCAAGCATGAGGTGTGCCAAGGAATTACCTAAGCGGTCAGCACGTGCTCCAGCGACATAGGCTCTGCAGAGGAATTCATCCGTGACACGACACTGAGCTCATGGGCACCGAACATGACTGCGCAGAGCTTCCTCTGGTGACACGATGAGAGAGGCAACAGCAGGTTCTATCGCTGGCATGCGATCCAAGTCTGCTGCAGCCGGCTCCTGCATGGCCGCCAACACTCGGCCATCTGCAGAGAGGCGCGCAAAGGCTTTGGGGTCCCGCCAGCAACCATGCAACTCCCTCAGGAACTCCTCTGATGGAGGGACAGAAAAGGAAGGAGGGGTCAGTCCGCACCTGAAGAAGGCACTTCCAGGGGTGGACGCCTCTGGTTGCAGGATGTCCAGCTGCAGTTGTCTCAGGGCCATACGCATGACGTCCTGCATCGAGCCGTCACCCGACCCACTAACTGCGCGCCGAGAAGAAGAAAGTGAAGCTGTCTCTGAGACTTGAGATGAATGCCTGTCCTCCTCACCTAAAAAGTGAGAGGCAGAGGTAGCCAAGGATATCACATCTTCCTCCGCAGCCAGTTCAGGCATGGGTGGGGAGGAGAGTCCGGTCGCTGCCACTGGTTCAGTTCCCAGTTGGCGTACCTGAAAAAGGGACTTCATCTCCGCTAATTCAGCTGAGAGCTGCTCCACCCTTGTGGAGAGGCCCCTATCAGACCTGGCTTGCTTCTTCCCAGGAGGGGCCACAGAGACTGCAGCCTCAGTCCGGCGCTTCGAGGTTCTGGGCAGGAGGCTCCTAGGTGGAGCCTCCTGCCCAGAAGGCGGGAGGTCATCATCGAGTTTGGGGCAAAACTGGGCCAGCCGGGTCACCCGCGCAGCACGCGACATGAAGCTGCAATTCATGCAGGGGTTCTCTGACAGGGCCTCCACCAGATGGTCCTCTCCAAGACAGGAAGGACACAGGTCGTGACCGTCATTTGTCTGGAGCATGGCTCCACAGACTGTACAGCAGTGAGAGCCGTCCATGCTCTTTACCCAGCTATGTCCAAGATACTCAGAGAGGCTAGCACCGCTAGCTCAGCTGGTAAAGAGGACAATTGGGAGAGGGGGCACGAACGCTCGCCTTCACCAATCAAAACAAGGCCAAAACTCAGGGAGGCTAGCACCGCTAGCTCAGCTGGTAAAAGAGGACAATTGGGAGAGGGGGCGTGAACGCTCGCCTTCACCAATCAAAACAAGGCCAAAACTCAGAGAGGCTAGCACCGCTAGCTCAGCTGGTAAGAGAGGACAATTGGGAGAGGGGGCACGATCGCTTGCCTTCACCAATCAAAACAAGGCCAAAACTCAGGGAGGCTAGCACCGCTAGCTCAGCTGGTAAAAGAAGACAATTGGGAGAGGGGGAGCGAACGCTCGCCTTCACCAATCAAAACAAGGTCAAAACTCAGAGAGGCTAGCACAGCTAGCTCAGCTGGTAAGAGAGGACAATTGGGAGAGGGGGTGAGAACGCTCGCCTTCACCAATTAAAACAAGGTTAAAACTCAGAGAGGCTAGCACCGCTAGCTCAGCTGGTAAGAGAGGACAATTGGGAGAGGGGGTGAGAACGCTTGCCTTCACCAATTAAAACAAGGTTAAAACTCAGAGAGGCTAGCACCGTTAGCTCAGCTGGTAAGAGAGGACAGTTGGGAGAGGGGGTGAGAATGCTCGCCTTCACCAATTAAAACAAGGCCAGGAACTCAGCTGGCTACGTAAGCAAACTTCGGAGCACAGTCCAACCGACCACGTGGTTGGAGGCCTCCAGTAAACAGGAGCGGAGCGAATGCTACCGCTAACTAATAGCAAAATATAAGCAATAAACCACTACTCACCAGTGTTAAATCACACACATAGTAGTCATAAACAACGTAGGAGAACAGTCCAGCCGACCACGCGGTTGGAGGTCTCCCAACAAGCGGGAGCGGAACGAACGCTACCGCTAACCAACGGCGAAATATAAGGAAAAACACTACTCACCGGTGTTGAATCACACACATAGTAGTCAGACGCTGTAAGTTGGGAGAGGCGGAAAACGCCATAGTCCCCAACGAAACAGGAGAAATACCTTTGAACAGGGTTAAACCGTCGCAGCCCTAGGAGGGCGAACACGCTACTCCCGCAGACGGGCAGTCGGGCTTCCGACGACAGTAAAAAGTTCAGAAAAGGTCCAAAAGGCTGAAGCCCTGAATTGAACCGCGCGCAAGAAGAAATAAGGAGCAGAGCTGCGGATGACGTCGGGCTATTTAGCCTCTGATTAGTCATCCGTGTCACACCTGTGACTCCGTTGGTATTATTACTCGAACAGCGCATGCGCGAAGGGAACATTCAGTGCTTTCAGCACCGCCCTCTGGCAGTCAGGAGGGATGAAATAGAACTCAAAATTGTTTGTCAGCTAAAATGAGTGAACTGTTTTGCATTTTGATTTTTTAATACTACTACTAATAATAATCTGTGTAAAGTTTACACTTTAATTTGTTGGGGGGGGGGGGGGGAGAACACTGTTCAGTGATTTGTAGACATACATGACACATGAGTATTTTGAACTGGATTCGAAAGTGAACCGGTAACCAGTGCAGTGAGGCCAAAACTGGTGTAATGTGCTCTCTTTTGCCTGTACTGGTTAAAAAAAACAGTTGTAGTCGTGCAATGGGGGTCTGACTGATACCAAACAGGAGCGAATTGCAGTAATCAAGCCTAGATATAATGAATGCATGTATTACTGTCTCCAGGTTATTTTTGGACAATATGGGCTTCAGTTAGACAGTCGCCTCAGTTGGAAGAAGCATGATTTAACAATCATGTTTATGTGATTGTTAAGTTTCAGGGAAGGGTCCATTATCACTCCCAGAGTAGTGACTCATATGTATAGATAGTTAAGGAATGGCAAAATAATGTTGGGATGGGATGCAAACATAACAATAAGGATGGTTCTTTAACTTACAAGGTGCTGGAGCACAACACATCGCCATCATGGGAACTGCTCCTTGGACAAAAAAAGAAAAAGAGATTAAGACATTTTATTACAAAAACTGTTACAGTTCCTAGTCCAATGGCCCTATTCAAATTATGCACTATAGGGCATGCTTTTCAAAGACCGCCTATTGACTTGATTTTTTTTATTGTGCAAAAGCCGTATTGTCCACTTTTGTCTACTATGAGAATGTTAAGCTTTTAGATCAGAAACAGCTATATCTCAATCTCCATCTTCTATCACTTATCCATAGGTGGTTCATGAAGGCAACAGGTCCAGGACAGAAACCCAGACATCCCTCTCCCCAGTGAACCTGTCCAGCTCCAAGACACCTCCTGCTCCTTCTGGGTCTGCCCATTCATTCAACCTTTATTTATACATAGGGATGCACAATATTATCGGCATGGTATCGGCCGATATTAGCGTTAAAATTCAATATCGGACATAAACTACTCAATTAAAATAACTTGCTGATAGAAAAGGCGCCATTTTTGCCTGCAGCGGCAGCACAACGTGATAACGTTGCAGCGGCAATGCAATGTGATGACGTCACGTGTGCCTACCCAAGCTCACAACGGAGAGTAAAATTCAAAATGTTGGCAGTGTGGAAGGTTTTTTCCGTTGGTGAGGATGTCGGATTCTGAAGATTTATGGACTACGTTGAGCCTCGCTACATCGTCCGCAGTCAGAGATATTTTTCCAACGTAACGTTACCCGAGTTACAAGCCGTCATTTCCGACGTCGTTGAGAAGCTAATAGCCGATAGCACGACTTGTTGGGTGAGTTTTCCCACAGACATTTATACGTCGCGTTAGCCCCGTTAGCATGATTAGTCTTACAGCACAATGGATGGACAAAAACTTTGAACTTAAAAAGGCTGTCCTTCATGCACAGGAGTGCAGAGGATCCCACACTGTAGGTAGGAACCTGGAACAAGCCTCCACAAATGAGACAGCATTGCAGGTGACTGATACTAATAAATAACATTTAACACTATTCATTGAATATAAGTTAAAGTGCTATGCATATCATATGGCTGTTACTGAATATATGTCACCAGCTCTTACAGCTGTTACACAATTTTTGTAGCAAATAAGCCTAAATAAGAGGGTTATGTTCTGACAAAGGAACGTATATAAAATATCGGTATTGGTTATCGGCCAAATAAGTTTTAACATATATCGAATATCGGCCAAAGATCCAATATCGTGCATCCCTATTTATACAGGTTAGTCTCATTGAGCCACGAGGACTCATTTACAGGAGAGACCCGTTTTAAACAAAGAAAATCACGCCCCAGGGCCCCTTATAATAATAATAATAATAATGTCATCACAATGTCAGCACTGTATGTTTCCATACAATGGCGAAATTAGTCTCTGCATTTAACCCATCCACCACCAGGTGGTGCAGTGGGCAGCTATTGAAAGCACCCGGGGGACATTTTGGGGATTAGACGTGCTGCCCAGAGATCAACGCAAAGTTCCCTGAAAACCTTCAAACAGGGGCATCCAGGAGTCATAACCAGAAGCTTGAACCACCTCAATTGACTCCTTTCGGTTTTAAGGATTTTCTACTCTGATCTTCCACCTAGATGACAGAGCGCCTCCCCCTATCTTAAGGCTGAGCCCAGGCACCCTATGAAGGAAGCTCATTTCACACATTTGTATTCAGGTTCTCGTTCTTTCTGTCATGATCCAAACCTCATGACCACAGGAATGTTGAAACGTAGACATACTGGTAAATGGAGAGCCTTGCCTTTCGACTCAACTTGTTCTTCCCGGCAACCGACCGAGCAATGCTGTCATTACTGAGGATGCCACAATCAGTCAATCCCTCTCCTGATCCAGCCTACAACAACCACTGTATGATGCTGTGAAATACTCACAGCAAACGCTCAAACTACAGTAAGACTCAGTACTTTTGTGTTATGTGTCTAACATCTGAACAATTGTTCTGGTGTTCCTTCATTTGTAAAACACATTTGGGAGCGTTACGTTTTCACTTATTTCAATGAACAAACTACTTTGTATGTTAACTTCATGTCTACCAATTTCATTACAGGTTTAACATTTGATGGTGTGACTCTTTCCATCATAGAAATCAGATAGAACAGAACAAGTTTCTTTGGTCCTAATCAACATAAAAACAAAATAAAAATTTTAATCACTCACTACCGTAGAAAGGTGTTGGAATATTTCTGCGCACCAGAGGTCCTTGAATTGGCTCGCTGTTGTCTTTGTTAACAGCAATGAAAGCAGTGAAAGAACTGCTCACTCCTGAATGGACACTGAGCTCCACCACCTTCTTCTTCACTTCATCATGTTGCTGTCCTCTGTGTGCCCTCTCCTCCAACTCCAGGGATTGAATCACAGAGCGAGCAGCCAGCTTGTGGACTGTTAACCTGCAGACAGGAGGATGCAAGCTCTACGTGTGGCCATCAAACATTTTGATAAGCACAAACTGAAACCAGACTCCTATTAATCAAAAGTTGAAAGTGTTATCATCTTCTCTCAACTAGGTCCATTTTAGTTTTTGCCACTTCTATGAAAGAGAATATTTTTACATTTATCTTAGGTGGAAAATTAAATTCATTGTCCAAACAGGAAAATGGAGGAGGGACAAAATGCTGTCCAATATTTTAGATAGATAAAGTAAGGCTTCTAAAGTAAGGCTTCTAATTGGAGTTCAAAAGAGGGAGCACATCATCCCCACTCTGGCTTCACTCCACTGGCTGCCTGTTCATTTTAGAGTTTATTTTAAGATTCTTTTGTTTTTAAAAGTTTAAATGTTCTTGCCCCATCCTACCTCTCTGAGCTGCTTCACGCATACTCTCCTGCTCGGTGCCTCAGATCAGCTGCTCCTGGAGGTGCCGAGGTCAAAACAGAGGCTCAGAGGGGACAGAGCTTTCTCTGTAGCCGCTCCAAGACTGTGGAACAATCTCCCTCTTCCCATCAGACGAGCCCCTTCACTGTCCATTTTTAAAACTCTTTTAAAAACAAATTTTTACTCTCCGGCTTTTAGCACAGACTGAATTTTGCTCTGCACTGTTTTTATTGATCTTTATGTTTTAACAACTGTTTTATGTTTAAATTGTTCTTGATTTTATATGTACAGCACTTTGTTGCAGCTGTGCTTGTTTTAAAGGGCTTCATAAATAAATTATTATTATTATTATTATTATTATTATTATTACTATTATTATTATTAACAGTCATGATTAAAAAAATATTATTTTTAAATTCCTCCACTTAAGGAAAGAAAAACCTCATTCCTGGTGTGAAGGGAACACTAATTTTGGTTAAAAACCATGGCCTTAGATGCAGAGAAGCCGACTCTCATCCCAAATGTTTCATGCTCAAATACAAACTGCCTCAGTGCATGCTGAAAGCACAGATACCCCCTCCTCTGTAAGTTGAGTTTCTGTTCATGAACACCACAAACAGAAACAGAGATGAGAGTGATGTGTGCACAGGTTTACTTTGGTAAAACAGACACCATATCAGCAGTGTCCCTCATACTCATATTCATGAGCACTGTCCAAAAAATCCCCGAGGGGACACAGTCAGGAGCCTTAAATAAGCCCAATAATTACAGACTGGAAAATTAAACTTTCATGAACCCCTAAGCAACTCTGTGAAGGTGAAGACATGTTCTGCAACTCCTGCTAGATATTCATCTTAACAACTGATTGGAGCTCCGTTCCAACACTCTAGAGCAGTGGTCATTTAAATTCAGTGAGGTCCATCTACAGAAATGTTTCTCAAGCAAAGGTCGAGAGCATAACAACTGAGCAAAAGGCACTGTGGCTACACTAAACACTTGTGCCACAGCCATGAATTAAAGATCTTATGGACAAAGGCCTTTAGCAGATGTTCAATGTTCACTCTCACCACTTGTCTGTGTTTACCAGGTCTGACTAACAGTCCTGACAACCACCGACTCCAACTCACCCCCCAGGTGGTAATCATCTCACAGCTCTGACTTTCTCTTTAGATTTCCAAGACATACAACCGTAGGTGTGACAATGTAGCTAAGAAATCAGTCATCAATCATTGTCCCAAGGTCACATGGCAACAAATATACATAAGGACCACACTGGACTCAAAAACGTTCATTATGAGTAATCCAGATATTCAACAACTATACACCATTCAGAGACCAGGGAGGCCATTTGTCCCAATCAGACCTTTCCAGGGGACCGTCATCGTACACAAGAATAATGAGAAACCAGAAAACAAAAGATTCTCCATACAACACTGTCAAAGCACCAAAGCACTATTCAAAGACTCCAAAAAGACTAGGGAACAAAAGACTACTTTCAGAATGCTTGAATAAAATCCTCCCATGGCTCCTGAAATATTATGCTAACAGACAGACAGCCAAATGAACGCACACCGTTATGGTTGCCCAGTATTCATGAAAGAAGACTATAATAAAAGTAATCTTATTACTGTACAACTATGATTGTGAAGAAGCTGCCAGACCACAATCTGTTTTACCCAGTGTCCTCTGCAGGTTTGAGACTGAAGTGAAGCTGGTTCTGAGAGGGATGACCCGCCAGAGTGTACTTCACCATCACAGTGCCCTCTGCTGCCTCTGAACTCTGTGAAATTATTACACAATTAAAAGAAACAATTTTTAAAAGTATATCTCCGTCGATGTTTTAATATTGTCTGAATTTTATTAGTAAAAGACAGGAATGCTTCAGCATGAGAAGAGATGGTGGCGACTCTACCTGTCCAGTAAGCTGGGCATAAATCAGTGACCTCTGACCCTGAAAAATTGCTGTGATGGGTGGAGAAAGGACGGTGGCAGACACTTTCTTTGGTAAATCCCATGTGACAGAAATATCCTGCACAGCTGGCTGGAGGGCATATTTTAGTGACTGCATCACCTGATTAATAAAAGAATACAATGAAAGTTATCTGTTATCTCATCTGTCCATCACAGATGTGCTCATACATTTATTTTAACTTACTTTTGGCTGCATTCTGTCAGTTCCAGTAATGAACTGAGAATGACCTCCTCCCTCCTTGGCCAGCCCACTGATGAGAGCAGAGCTGGCACCTTCTCCAATCCCAAAAGAGAAACACCTACAATACAATAGGTTGTTTTAAACACACAACAGCAGGACACAATGCAAACTGTCAATCTGTGTGCTTATGGTGTTACCTGTGGGAGCCTGCATTCTTCTTAACAAGATCGATTACATCTTTGGTGTTCCCCACCTCTCCATCAGTAAAAACAAATAGCTAAAGGAGAAATTGCATGAAAGTTAAACAAAGTCACGCCCAGGCAGGTTTAAAGTCCTGTAGGAAATCTGAAGGAGAGGTAAGCAACTCTGGTTGCTTTCAAAAGCCTAAAACATTAACTAAAACGATGACAAATATAAGCTTTAAAAAACCGGTCTGCCTAAGACTTTTTTAAAGGGTGTGGAGATTTTTGTTCAGGTTAGTCATAGGAAAATAAAGTCCACCCTTACTCAAAAAAGACTGAACAAACGTGATTTGTTTGGAAGGTTTGACAGAAGAAAGACTCTTATCTCTTAAAACCACATGGCAGCACAACTTCAGTTTGCAAAATTGCATTTGAATGAATCATACCACTTCCTTTAGACAGATGAGATTATATTAGACACGTTTGGCCATAATGAGAAAGACTATGTTTGGTGAAACCCAAGCACAGCACAAACAGGGAGCAACTTTCAAGCACAGTGGTGGAAAGCTGGTGGTTTGGACACCTTGTAGTCAGTGAGTGGACCATGAACTCCTCTGTAGACCAAAGTATTATTTAGTCAAATGTGAGGCCATTTGCCTGACAGCTGAAGTTTGGATCAAATTGTGTCATATGCAACAGAACAATGATCCCAAACACAACACCTAATTTACAACAGAACAGCTCAAAAAGACAAGAATGAAAATGCTTCAACGACAATCAGATAAGATAAGCTCATCAAGAAGGCCAGCTCGGTGCTTGGATGCCCCCTCGACCCCGTGCAAGTGGTGGGAGACAGAAGGACTCTAGCTAAAATAACATCATTGCTGGACAACATCTCCCATCCCATGCATGAAGATGTTGCTGAACAGGACAGCTCATTCAGTGACAGATTACTGCATCCTAAATGCACAAAGGAGCGTTACTGCAGGTCCTTCCTCCCAGCAGCTGTTAGACTCTACAACCATCACTGCTCCCAACAAACTCAATAAGGATTAAATACATGCTGACCTCTGCTAAAACACACTCTGCCTATAATACTGTACTGTAAATAGTCTGTCCTTATCAATGAGTATGTTTACATGGACATAAGTAACCGGATGAAATGGCCGGTCGGAATAAAAGTGTGTCATGTAAACACTCCGTTCGGGTTATTTTTTGTGTATTCGGTGCGATCCGATATAATCTGTGATCAGAACGAAACGGGTGGTTTATGCTGATCCATAACCCGATCGGTGCGCATGTAAACGCTTGATCTGTTCATTTTTATCAGCTCGTGAAAAACTGACCTGACTGCGCATGTGTGACTTTGCCATTTCCGCCTGGCTAATGCTAATAATATTAGCATGTCAGGGAAGCAAAACTGGTCGGTGAGCGACACAACATTTCTACTAGAAACTCTGAAAGAGTTCAAAATGATCTGTATTACCTGTAGATCAGTCAGGGAGTGCAGTAACATCTCCACCATCATTAAAACCTGTCGCGGGTCCATTTTGGGTGCTCAGGTTTGTTTACGTTCACCCCGGAAGTAGAACTTCTTCTTCTGTGTTTTTTTTTAAGGAGAGTTTACCACTCTGCGCATGTCAGTACTGCTGTTCAGAACAAAGCCCGCTTCATGTAAACGCTCGTCATGAACAGATTGTGCCCATGTAAACAATACATTTGAATTATTCAAACAGAACACATTTCAATCCGGTCAAAGAATTCTGCGCATGCAAACATAGCTAATGTTCCAACACATATTGAACATTATTATTGATATTGTTTATCTTATTTCTTTATATATTGTAATGTTGATTAACATTTAGGAACTTATGTGTGAAATCTTTTTATCTTTTTATCTGTTGCTGCTGTTGCTGCTATTACACTTGAATTTCCCATCCGTGGGACAATAAAGGCTGTTTCTATTCTATTCTATTCTATTCTATTCTATTCTATTCTATTCTATTCTATTCTATTCTATTCTATTCTATTCTATTCTATTCTATCAAAGACCAGAACCTCAATCTGACTTAAATGTTGCGACTGGACAGCAAGTGACCTGTGTAAAACCAAATGTCTGTAAACCTCAATAAACTGGAGCAACTTTGTAAAGAAAAGAAGGCCCAAACTTCTAAACACCGATGTGAGAGACTGATAAAAGTCAAAGAGGAACCACTCAGCCACAGCTGCCCCATAACTGAACATTAACTTTGTCAATATAAATATTATTACTTACTTGTCTTGGCTGATTGGGAACGCAGGGTTGACTGTAAATGTGTTCGAGAGGCTGAAGGATCTCTGTTCCTCCCAGATTAGCGCTCATCCCCTCAACTTTCTTTAGAGCCTCCTCCATGGTCTTCTCGCTGTACTCAACACTCGCACTTCCATGAAAATCATCAGGTAATAAGGTAAAGTGGAAATTCAGTATAGATTCACACTCTTATGATTGTGTGTGTGTGTGCATGTGTGTTTGTGTACAAAGGCACTCACGGGAAGATGTGTTCAAAGCTGGACCCAAAACTGTAGATGTTGAAGTAGCAGCCCATTGGTAAACTCTTCAACAGGAGCAGCAGAGTGTCCTAAAGAAAGGCAAAGAAGGCATCAAGACCACCGTCTAAAAGAAATATGAAGGATTTTATTATTCAGGTAAGATTCAGCTAAATACCCTTGCACTGCAAATCCGAGTTTCTTGTGGATTGCTGTTATTGATAGGACACTCCATACTCCCAGATCGATCAATCAAGAAGACAAACTCTCCACATGAGGCGAGTGAGGACATCACGGACTGGGGGAACTCGGGGTACAGGCTCAACATCACCACAGGATCACCCATCAGAGTGCCTGAAATTTGATGAGATGGAGAAATGATCCATAATCCTACAAAAAACAAGTTTAAGAATGAAGATGATTATGCTTTTTAAATGTGACTAAACCTGCCACTAGGGAGCACAAGCAGGTGCATCTCTTGTGCCAGTCCCAAGTCTGGGTAAATTGTGGGGGTTGTGTCAGGAAGGTCATCTGATGTTAAACACTTTTGTCAAAACTAACATACAAGTTCATCTAAGTGACACCATACTGGAACAGTTGAGGCCCAGGTTAACAATGACCACCACAGGTACTGTTGACAAATGGTGCCGGCGGAAATTGTGTTACTGTGATTCAAAGGTTCTGACGGTTTGCGCTTAAGCCCCAAACAAAAATTTGGAGTACCTAGCCTTTCTGGAAATTGTGAACTGTATCCTGGAAGGCATGCAATCAGAGAATTCCTTTGTTTGACTTGGTGACTTCAATGTCCATGTGAGCAGTCAACAGTAACAGGAAGGGGGTGATTGTGAGTAACAGTTTATCTGATCTGAACCAAAACTGTGTTATTTTATTGGACTTGTGTGCTAGGCATGGGCTGGCTATAACAAAAAACATGTTTGAGCATAGAGCGGTCCATAAATGTACTTGGCACCAGGCCAAAAATCCTAAGGCCAAAGGTCAATAATCAATTTTGTAATCATGTCATCTGACCTGCGGCCCTATGCCTTGGACACTCTGGAGGAGAGAGGAGCACAGCTGTAAACTGATCACCACATGGTGGAGAGTTGGACTCAGTGGTAGGGTAAGATGCCAGACAGACCTGGTAAACCCAAACGCAGAGTTAGAGTGAACTGGGAATGTCTAGCCTATGCGATCTTCAACTCACATCTTCAGGAGACTTTCTCACATTTCCTGGGGGAAGTCAGGGACATGGAATCCGAATGGGCCATGTTCAGGGCTTCTATTATAGATGCGGCTTCTAGCAACTTTGGCCTGAAGGTTACTGGTCCCTATCACAGCAGCATCCAAATAACCCACTGGTGGCCACAAGCTGAGATAGAGGCCTTCAACCTGAAGAAGGAGGCCTTCAGGGCTTGATTGTCAAGTAGGATTCCAGAGGTAACTGAAAGGTACAGGAATGCCCGAAGGACTACAGCTTCATTGGTTGTAAATGGAAAAAACTCAGGCATAGGAGGAATTTAGAAAGGCCATGGAGAAGGACTTTCTGTTGGCCTCAATGAAGTTCTGCCAAAACGTTCAACAACTAAGAAAAGTAGGCCCTGTCCCAGGCTGTGCTTGGTTTAGGTGGGTAACTGCTGACATGGACTGAAGATATTGTTGATCAGTAGAAGGGGCACTTCGAGGATCTCCTAAAGCCACCCAACCATGTCCACATTTTAAGAGGCAGAGTCTGAGGACTTGGGGGAAGACAAGTCCATCACCATGGCAGAGGTCATTGAGATAGACAAGTTTCTCTGTGACAGGATGCTAGAGGTGGATGAGATTCGCCCCAAGATGCTGAAGACTCTGGATGTTGTGGGGCTTTCATGGTTGACATCTCTTCATTGTAGCATGGGGGACTGGGACGCCTGTGGAGTGGCATACCTAAGTGGTGATTTCCATTTTTAAAAAGGGGGAATGAAGAGTGTGCTCCAACTATTGTGCGAACACACTTCTCACCCTCTCCGGGAAAGTTTAGGTTTAGTTTAGTTTTAAGTTTGGGTGTTGGAAGGGAGGCTCAGAAAGACTGTCGAGCCTAAGATTCAGGCACAGCAGTGTGGTTTCTGTCCTGCATGTGGAACAGTGGAACAGATCTTTACCCTTGTAGAGTTGCTAAGGAAGTCATTGAAATTTGCCTCTCTAGTCTACATATGTTTTGAGGACCTAGAGATGGATTATGACCATGTTACCTGAGGTATTTTGTGGGGGATGCTGCGGGAGAATGAGGTGCCTGAGTTGTTTTTAAGGGCTATTTGGTCCCTATATAACCAAAGCAGGATCTGTGTTAGCATTCATGGTACAAAGTCATGCTTGTTCTCGGCATAGGTATCTGATTAAGTAGCCTCTTGGACATCCCACTGGTAAGAAACCCATGGGAAAACCCAAAACTGTCGGAGGGATTGTGTATCCTCTGTGGCCTAGGAACTCCTTGGGGTCCCCCCAATCTGGGAAGTGTCACAGGGGTAAGAGATGTCTGGGTTTCTCACCTGGACATGTTACTTCCGCGACTCAGCTAGTGGTAGAAGATGGAAATGGAGAAGCAACTCAATCAGCTTAACTTATTTGCACCCACCAGTCTTGGCAGAGGTCTGTCCTGCCTCCACCACAGCAGTGGGCTGGTGGGCATCTTTGTAATAAATCAGCACTTCAACGTCTCTGTCAAACTTGTGTCCGGCAGCCAACTTCACCTTCAGATCAAAAACACACAAATATAAATAGTTATTTATCTTTGTATCAACCACAAACAGCAGTAACATGAGCTCTCTACCCACCGAGGCCTGAGTTTGATCAGTGTTGAGGTACTGAAGAGGCTCCAGGGAGCTGCTGGACTCTACTTTAGAGACTGGGCGAGGAGAAGACACTTGGACAGAAAAGGACAGACTGTACGGGACCTGAGAGGCTGGAACTGAGGACACCTGGACACTGGGACCCTCACTACCTGCAAACATCATGAGAGACAACTGAGTCAGAGTATTCAGGGTTAGGTTGGTTTAAGTATGAAAAGGAAAGGTTTGTGAAGCTGTCCTGATGCATGCTCAATAATCCAGAGAAATTAATTTAACAAGGTTGAGTCAGGTCCTCAGGACAGTTTGTGAGGCTAATAGACTTACAGAGGACCTTTGAACATGATTGCATCCATCAGCTGGTTTTCCTACCTTGAGGTTGGTAGCGAGGGTTGAGCACAGCAGGCAGACAGAACCTCAGCCCGTCATCAGCCTGCACAGCAAGCTCAGTGACGTACTCCAGCCTGATGGAGGCGCTCTCTCCTGGAGGCAGACTGCCCACACTCAGGGAGAAGATATCTGGACTCTCTGCGCTCTCCTCCAACAGGAAGGCCTGCTGACCGGAGCTCAGTGCCTCATCATACTCCTCCCGAGCCTGCAGTCCACATTAAATATGTCATGAACGTTCACTTCATTGTGCTCCTCTCTAGATAGAAAATCTTTCTGTCCAGCTCACCTGCTGCTTCTCCTTGACCTCAGCTACAATGTGTTTCTGTCCGATCTCAGCACTGAAATGACACACAGCAGCATCTCCAGGCAGAGGGAAGACAAAAACAGCCTCTAGTGGTTTGTCCTCCTTGTTCTCGTAGTTCAGAGTGGAGACAACTGTAGCTACATGGTCCCTGACCTCCACACGAACGTCAATGCTCTGCAGAGGAACTGAATCAGGAAAATAATCAAAACATATAGATAAAGCATACATATAATGTACATATGTTAAACTTATTAAAGCTTCTTCAGTACAGTTTCAAGTAGCCGTTTTTGATATGGATGATGTGGCTCTTCACTCAGGGTGGCATCTTTTTGAGTGGCGTGTTAATTTTAGAAAGAAAAAAGGTCTTCTGCTTCTAAACAATTTTTCTATTGATAATTTGTGAGTCCAGTCAATCTGCCGTGTGGGCGTGCCCTTCTCAGCATAAGATAATTTTAATTTAAATATCGGTCATCAAAGGGCTTTCCTTGGAGGAATGCTAACTCTTGTTAGCATGATTACCATTTGTCTTTGTCCCAGAATTTAGAACATCTTTATTATAACTGTATTAAGTGGCACAAAATGAAGTGTCTTCCTTAGTGCGTCAAAATACATAAAAGAAACAAAAGCCAAAAGGTAAGGAGAGGAACCATTTACAAGATGAAGAACAGTCAGACGGCACAGCACATTACTGCACCTGTTATTGCACAAGTTATTGTAAAAATACTGGAGATACTATGTGGCATTTAACGCCCTTTGGGATAAAATCTGTTTTTCCAATCAAGCGGTCCTTGTTTTAATGCTCCTGTACCTCCTGTCTTATTGCAGTGGTTGGTACACGTGACAGGGAGTCTTATTTGAGGCATGGGAGCTGTGCAGTTCATCAAGACAGGTCAAAGGGCATCATGGGCAGTCAATGATCCCCTTAAGTGTTTTCCTTTGTTCTACTGTGCAGCTAGAGAACCAGTAACGTTCAGAACTAAATTGTAGGAAAGACTACAATTATAAATACAGGTTTCTAATGAAAAAAGTTTGAGCAGTCTTTTTAACATGAATTTGTCAGAAAAAAAAATGTGCATTGCTGATTCTAATAGTTTTTATTTATTTATTTTTATTTGAAGTATCTCTAATTTAAATATCTGAAATATCTGTCCTGTTCTATGTTAACAGAACCCTCTGTACTGTAATTAGACATAAGGGTTATTATTTTAAAAACAAATAAGTTTGCTGCATATCAAAATCTGAAGTTTTCTTTTTTATATTTAATGTTACAGAAGAAGTCCGAGATAATGTTTCCTAACACTTTTTGTTTGTTTGTAGTTGTTTTTTTACCTGGTTCCTTCTGGGCTGTTATCAGTCCACAGCAGTTCACCATTTTATCTGTGCAACAAGAAACAGTTTTATTTGTTTGTTTCGTTTCTGTCGAAGGACAATGTTGATAATAAATAAACACGTACATTGTTTTAAACAGACTATAAATATGACTAGATGTGGTCACAGCTTAGAGACAGAAGGAAACTTACCAGTGCGGACAGTTCTAGTTCAGGACAGAGGCGTGTTGGACTGCAGGTCTCTTCAGTCTTTTATGCGAACAACTTGAAGTAAAACAACAAATCCTGCTGAACTGCCGGGTACGTTTGGTTTGGTACCAGTGAGCGCCGAGTGGGTGGAGCTTGACTGTAAAGCAGAGTCATGGGGGCGGTGCTTCCTTTTGCTTTGCTCACTCCCACGGCCAGTGATTTGTGTTTATTTATTTATTTTTCTTTCCGGTTGCAAACATTTTACAAAATGAAACAACTAATCATTTTGAAGTTCTCAAACTGCAGAAAAAAATATTTTGGAAGTCTTATCCCTTTCTGTCTGTGCCTCTGAATCAATGAAAAATTTAATTTTCCCATTTTAGTCTTCCCATGAACATGTTCCCACATTTGAGAATGGCTTATTTTCCTCGCTGGCTCCATTACGGATATATATATATATATATATATATATATATATATATATATATATATATATATAACAAACCAACATGTTGTTTATCTTTCAGCTACATTCTTCATGGGTCACCACAGCAAGAAAACTCACATGAGAAATTTAACTATTGTTTTACACCAGGTGAACAACCTGTTGTAACTGGGGCTTGAACCACAGCTTCGGGATTACAGGACCACACCTTTTAACCACCAAGTTACCACACCCTCAACACTATCATATATTATGCATGCATGCATCAGGATACTATCATATATTATTTCATGTCATTTTGCAGTGCATCTGCTGAGAAGCAGTACCCCTTAGTTTGAAATGGTCACGTGATTCACTCAGGGGTCCGAAGCAGTGGCTGCTTCGAATGTCTTCTGTCTTGTGTATTTTTCTACTTAAATCAAGCTTTGAAGCAGAGATTCAAAGAAAATGTAGCCTTGAGTTGATGGCTTTGGTGTCAGCCGGCCATCACTACAAACAGGATACAGCAGGTGCATCTAAAAAAACAAGGGAAATTGTGAAAAAGTTCATTATTTTTTGTCAATCACCTCAGAAAGTAAAACTCACATATTACATAGATTTATACACAGAGTGAAATATTTCAAGCCTTGATGTCTTGTAATTTTGATTATTATGGCTTACAAGTAATGAAAAACCAAAATTTAGTGTCTCAAAAAATTAGAATATTGTGAAGAGGTTCAATATTGGAAACTCTTGGTGCCACATCCTAATCAGCTGATTAACTCCTAGACTTGAGCTACAAATGTCACATTCCTCAAGTCAAGCCATGCCTGAACCACAGACGACGTCAGAATCGTCTTACCTGGGCTGTCCTCTTTCATATTATTTAGAAATCAAGGTCCCAGAGTTTGGAGAAAGAGTGAAAAGGCCCAGAATCCACATTGCTTGAAGTCCAGTGCAAAGTTCCATTCATCCATCCATCCATCCATCCATCCATCCATTCTCTTCCGCTTATCCGGGGTCGGGTCACGGGGGTAGTAGCCTAAGTAGGGAGGCCCAGACTTCCCTCTCCCCAGCTACTTGGGCCAGCTCCTCCAGAGGAATCCCAAGGCATTCCCAGGCCAGCCGAAAAACATAGTCCCTCCAGCGTGTCCTGGGTCTTCCTCTGGGTCTCCTCCCGGTGGGACGTGCCTGGAACACCTCACCAGGGAGGCGTCCAGGAGGCATCCTAACCAGATGGCCGAGCCACCTCAACTGACTCTTCTGGATGTGGAGAAGCAGCAACTCTACTCTGAGTCCCTCCCTGATGACCGAGCTTCTCACCCTATCTCTAAGAGAGAGCCCAGACACCCTGCAGAGAAAACTCATTTTGGCCGCTTGTATCCAATATCTCGTTCTTTTGGTCACAACCCAAAGCTCATGACCATCGATGAGGGTAGGAACGTAGATCGACTGGTAAATTGAGAACTTTGCCTTTTGACTCCGCTCTCTCTTCACCACAACAGACTGGTACAGTGCCCACTTCACTGCAGACGTTGCACCTATCCGCCTATCGATCTCCCGCTCCATTTTTCCCTCATTCGTGAACAAGACCCCGAGATACTTAAACTCCTCTACTTGGGGCAGGACCTCCTCCCTAGTGCAATGTTTCCAGTCAGTATTTGAGGTACCATGTCCTCTGCTGGTGTTGGTCCACTGTGTTTTCTGAAGTCCACAGTCAACACAGCATCTACCAGGACATTAGAGTGCTCCATGCTTCCTTCTACTGATAAGCTTTATGGATAAATTATTACCAGCAGGACTTGGCACTTGCCCATGCTGCCAAGGTACCAAAAGCTGATTCAGTTACCATGGTATTCCTGTGCTTGACTGGCCAGTAAACTCACCTGACCTGAACTCCTTATAGAAGCTATTGCCAAGAGGAAGGTGAAAGACACCATACCCAACAATGCAGACGATCTGAAGACCGCTATCAAAGCAACATGGGCTTCAATTAGCAATGTCGCAGGCTGATCACCTCCATGCCTTCCCACATTGATGTAGTAATTCATGCAAAAGGAGGCCCAACCAAGTGTTGAGTGCATAGAAATGAATATACTTTTCAGAAGTCTCACATTTCTTTTATAAATATCCTTTTTTATGGTCTCTTTTGATGTCACATCACTCTTTACGTGCATTCCTGTTGATGATGCAGTAGAGGTGGTCAGTTTAAAATTAAAATCAGACACCACTCTGAGCAGCAGGACCACGCTTTCCACAGAACAACTGTGTCAACTCTTGAAACTGTGCCTGCAGTCAACCTACTTCACATATGGGGAGCAATATTATAGGCAGAAACATGGGTGTTCTATGGGGTCTCCAGTTTCTCCTATTGTTGCCAACCTGTACATGGAGGAGGTAGAAAAGAGAGCCTTGACGTCCTTTTCAGGGACACCACCAAGTCATTGGTTCAGGTATGTTGACGACACCTGGGTTAAAATTAAATCTCAGGAAGTCCAACATTTTACTGACCACATCAACTCTGTGGATAAATACATCAAGTTCACACGAGAAGATGTAAAAAATGGCAAGTTGGCTTTCTTGGACTGTGAGGTCTCAGTCTCTGATAGAGGACATTTGCAAACCGAGGTGTACCGCAAACCCACCCACACAGACCAGTATTTGCAGTTTGACTCCCATCACCCTTTGGAGCACAAGTTAGGAGTCATCAGGACTCTGTATCACAGAGCAGACAGCATCCCCACTAGCTCGGGAGCCAGGCAGAAGGAGAAATCCTACACAAAACAGGCTCTAGAGCAATGTGGATATCCTAACTGGGCCTTCCTGAAAGCAGAGAAGAAACCCAAACAGGACTCCAGTCAGCCATCAGGTGAAAAGGAGGAACCCAGACCCAGACCAGTGGTCATTCCGTATGTTGAGGGAGTATCAGAGAAACTGAGACGTTTATTTTCTAAACATAACGTCCCAGTGGCTTTTAAACCCCAAAATACATTACGGCAAAAACTGGTTCATCCCAAAGATCCAGTCCCCCGGCACAAACAGAGTAATGTTGTGTATGCTGTTCAGTGTCAGGAGGGCTGTGATCAGTCTTACATCGGGGAAACTAAACAGCCACTGGCCAAAAGGATGGCCCAGCACAGAAGATCAACATCATCAGGCCAGGATTCTGCGGTCTACACTCATCTCCAGGCCAGCGGTCACTCTTTCAAGGATGAAGATGTTCACATCCTGGACAGAGAGGAACGATGGTTTGAGAGAGGAGTAAAGGAGGCCATCTTTGTGAAAAGAAACCGTCCATCATTAAACAGGGGTGGAGGCCTCCGGGTTCAACTGTCCCCCTCTTACAATGCTGTGATTGCTAGTATCACTCAGCCCTCTGTGAGTAGTAAACAGCCATCAGTGTGCTAATGATCCATTGTTAGGCTGATGGTCCTTCTTGAGCATGTGATCAGCTGGTTTTGGTTGTCAGCAGCAAACTGGTTGATCCACTCTAAGAAGGTGCTATTTAAGAGACTGAGCTGAAAACGGCACCTCAGACTGAGGAAGTCTCTTGGATGAGAGACGAAACGTTTCTAGATTTTTTTTTTTTTTTTTTTTTTTTTTTTTTGAATGTCTAGAGGACCAGATTGAAATTTTTTGGATCCTTTTTTATTGATCTTATGCAACATTCTAATTTTCTGAGACACATTTTGGTTTTTCATTATCTGTGAACCTTAATCATTGAAATTACAAGAAAGGCTTGAAATATTTCACTCTATGTGTAATGAATACTGTATAAACAAGTTTCAGTTTATGAAATGATTGACAATAAATTGAACTTTTTCACATTATCTAAAAATTTTTCAGTTGTACCTATACCCATCAGCCCAGTCCTTGTCTCTTTCCACATTCAGATCAGTTCTGCATTGTTGGTCATATGAACAGTCTCAGTTTCCCATTGTGTTTTCCTCCTGTGAATCTGTAAGTTTGCTGTCTTGTCAGCCCTTTGAGGAAATGAAGAGGGAGTGTGTCTTGGGCCAGATCTACCTCCTCAAATGTATCAACTTCTGCTGCCATTGTGAGCTGTGCAGTCACTTGTAGCCAGCCCCTCACCCCAAGCGACTCACACCTCCAGAGCTGGCTGTGGGTTTTCCAGAGTTCTTTTACAGTTGCAGCACCACCTGGATCCCTGAAGCTAAACAGCAGATGTTATCATAACCATCAGAAGGGGAGCGACCTGATGGCACAGAGCATGACTTCAGACATCCCTGCTGCAACCTTTTGCCACCTTTTTTCTCTACAGCATCATTTTCAGTAGTATCATCAGCTGCAGCTCCAATCCTCTCTGAGCCCTCTAAGGTTGTTTTCACACCTGATAGTCAGGTAGACTCAGTTCAGTTGGGGACCAATATTCATGACATTTTGTTTACATTTGAGCTAGTGCGTTTGCATTCACACTGCACTGTGCAGTCAAGCCAACCTGTTGAACCAACCTATTCCCCCGCTCAACTGTGGGGGTGCTGCACCAAGAACTACTGAAAGAAACGACACAAAAACCTCTGAAGACTCTTCTTCTTCTGGAAATAAAAACAAAAATGGAGTGGCATCAAGTTTTAGCAGTTTTAGCAGTTATATTTTGTCATTTTTCAAAAATGGACTCAGCATGAGCAGAAGATGAGGCAGAAGACCACGGAGAA